GCGTTAATGCGTTGGGCCCTATAGTTTGCTGATTTGCACACAGGTGGACACTCTGTAGTCTCCCAACCTCATTTAAATAGGGTTCTGAATGTTAATGTTCATCCTAGTAAGATCAAAGTCGCTAGATATAAATGATGAATGCAATTTTCAAAAGAGGCGGCAAGAGCTTCACACAAGTGGAATTTGTAAGTCCCTCCCTCCATTCCATGTGCATCACTTACAAAGGTGAGCACAGTGGGGGTTAGAGGGAAGGGTCCCCTTCTTCCTGGCACACACCAATATTACTTTGGAGGACAACCAGTAGAGAAGCTCGTAGTGCTGACTGTACACAGTGGCTGAGACTCCATGTGTATGGTCATCCAGCGGTGGAAGACCATCCAGTCTTCCACTTCCAATGACACATTCCTCCAGTGTGCAAAGCTCATGGCTCCCATTCTCCCATGGGGTTTTAATTTCTATGGGACACCTAGTTAGTCCTACCATTTAGGTGTCAAGATTGGGTAGTAAGCAGATAGTAAAGGAGATGAGAGTGTAAACATGATCATGACCTATCAAGACTAAAAACAGCCACAGCACCAGCTTTCAGACAAAGCCAGTGTTTGCCTGGCATTAAAGGGTCACTACAAGTGCACAACTAGGTACCTTCCAGGACTGAGGCTCCCCAGCAGCCAGGAGCACTGCCTTCTACTGACTCAGAGAGAGTAGAACCATCCACAGGAACCGCCCTTCCCTCCCACAGGCTGTGGGATGTGGGGTACAAAGTGAGCAGCTCTGAAGAGTCATGCCAACTTAGTGCTCCCAGGGGATCAGCTGAGCCTCTACAGCACCTGCCTGTTTGTTGGTTCCTCTACACAGCCCTGATTCCCTTGCACCTGGAGGACCCTGAGACTCCCCTGTAGGCATACCCCACAAAAAGTCTCTCTCCTCAAGGACCTGACCTAGACAGCAAGCTAGGGAAGGGGGTGATAGTGTTCTCCAGGGTGACTCCAGGATCACCCTGATATCTTTTTAACAATGCTGCATGAAAAGTGCCAAGCAGTCCTAGATCTGACTCCAGGATTTGGGGACAGCAAGAGGTGGTTATAGATCCTGAAAGACATGACCCCCTCCCTCCCTCGCCCTGCAGCTCCCATTTATTAAGTCTTACAGAACATTTGCATTCTTCTTTAGAAATAGACAGAGATGTACATAATCTCTTTCTTTACCTGAAACGCATGTGCTTCTACCATAAGCTAATAGGAGCTGGACTAAAACAAAGGAAAGCTGGTGAATATTAACAGTTTCCTTCCCCCTTAGAATGTGGATCAGTTCAAATTAGACTTTCAAGTGACAGCCTCTTAATTAGAGGATTTCCCATTTATGTGTCTTTTCTCATTTAAAGGGACCTGGGGACAATTGGTGGTAGGCCCTGAACAGGTGGCTTGGAAGGGAAGTGAGACATAAGTGAGTTAGCAGGTCCTGAATTAGCAGTGGGCTGAAGGACAGACTGTAGGGCAACAAGCATCACCTCTCAAGTTTTCTGTATCTGCAGACTGGTATGCAGATAACATGGGAAAAAGGACGTCAAGTCTGAACCAATTTCCAAAGGGTCTTCCTACGGTCTACACGGCCCTACTTGTCTCCAGAATACCTGAACTCTTTCCAGCTCTCAGACATTTGACATTAAGTTCCCCCCTGTTACCCCTGATAGATCTTTCCCAGGCTCTTTCCAGTCATTCCAAGTCAGAGAAGTTGTCCGACAGGTGACGACACTGTTGACGTGCATCCTGACGCTGCCTGCTTGTGATAGCAGCCTCCTCTGTCCTCCATCTGAATCTATACCCAATTTTTTTCAGACATATACATTTCCTCTTTGGCACTTAACCATATATTACATGGTAAATGCCAATAAATGCATTTAAAAATTAATTTTATCAAACAATATGGCTTATTATTTGTGACTATATTACTTAGATTTTCCCTAAGGACCCAAATTCCCTCTGAGATACATACCACACATACACACACCCCACACAAACGCACACACAGACACACCTACACGCAAACATACACGTACACCACACACCCAACATGCAACTGTTCCCCTTCCTGGCCACATATTGTACGGTGCATTGTTCTATCAGGTTCTCACATGCAGATGAGACCAGAGCCTGTACGTTGTTGAAGGATTTCAGGATGTGCACCTGTGAGGAAACATCCGGGACTTATAGCAGCCCTTCCCTCTGACCTCAATATTAAACAATAGGCTGTAGTGGTCTCTACCTTCCAGTTCTGCTCACCCCCCAACTCTAGATCCTCATCAACAAAAATATTTCAAATGTGTTTGCCAGGAGGTATCTCAAATCAAAGACTTTACAGGCTGACTCAGAACCAAATACATTCCTCTTCTCAGGTTTTTTTTTTTTTTTTGGCCACTACTTCCACTAATTGTAGTTTCAAAATGACATTATAGAAGAACAAATTGCATTTTTAAAAACACTCTTTGGGCTCAAAAGCAAGGCTTCCAGATATAGAAATGGAACATTTTTAAAATCAGATGGAGGGAGAAATGGAGAAAACAATTAAGCCAACTCCCAACTGTCTCTTTCCTCATACCGGCCACATAACCAAACTGGTGTCAGGAGAAACCAGTGCCATGGATGTGAGCACACTGGCCACTGCGCTATTATTTGTGAGGAAGCGGGGTTTGGCAGTAAGAGGGCAGGGAAATAACTGACTTTTCTTTAAGATTGGGCTCTTAAGGAAATGGAGACTCAGGTCTGCGCTGGAAGAGGGGCAGGTGGCTGTTGTGTGCCAGCATCAGGGCCTGGTGAATGGCCCAGTGCTTCTGTCCTGCAGGGTGGGCCCAGAGGATGGGTGCTGCTCCTCCTGGGATGGTGGGAGAACCTGGCTGCCGGTGGAGAAAGACATGAGAACAGGGAGCATTTAGAATATTTGGGGAATAATTGTTCCATGTTTCCCCCAGAGGGCCTACTACATAAAAATGGGCAGAATTCAGAATAAATGAGTTAGCTCACACCCAAATGCAAGTTCGCTTCTGGGAGGATTGTCAAGAGAAGATTCCCTTTCCCCAGAGCTCTTTAAAGGGAGAGCCAGGGTTGTAATTTGGTATCTTGCAAAATCTCGGCATAAAACAGAGATGTTCAAAACAAAACCTGAGCATTACTTAGAACCAGGTAGCGGGTTATTTCACACATAGCAGAATAAAAGCAGCAGGGACCAGCCATCACCAACCAAGACCCTCACAGCATGTGCGGTAGCAGAGGCAGGGAAGCAACAGGGCTCCCCATTCACCCGCTAACAGAAAGGCCCCAAAGGGCCCACCATGATCACCATGTGGGCCTGGGTGGGTATGGGGAGGACTTTTCCCAGCCCAATGACAAGGGCAGCCAAGGATCCCCAGTCCCAGCTGGTGCACCCTGGAATAGCCCTCTGAGCTCTCAGAACAGCTGCAAGGCCTTCCTTCTGGCAGGGCCCCACCGGGAAAATGGCGCAGGTCCAAGTGGGGCATGGGACCAGAACCAGGATATTTCAGAAGAAAGGCAAACCCAACAAGAGAAAACATCATCTTTCAGTGGACCTGCTGTTTTCCCTGTCACACTCTGCTCTGGTCCCCCTGGCCCTGGGAAGCCCCGAGCCTTCCTCAGGAACAGACCCTCAAGAGTGTTGCAGAGGGCAGCTGAGACTGACCTTTTAGTGTCGGGGGAGGGTTACACCCCCTTTGAATGGGGACTACATTTGGGGAAGGAAAATAGGTGGGGAGTAGGGTTGTGGGCTAGGAAGAGGTCTACTGATCAACACAAGATTAGACTTGGCTGTGAGCTGGGGGCCTCCCCTGGACCCACCAAGGCTCACCTAACAGGTGGGGGAAGCAGGTGAGTCTAGGCACACCAAGAGTGTCATGGCCACAGGGCACAGGGTTTCTAAGGTTTCAATCCTTCTTTACTTCACAGAAAAGTTAACAAGGAAGTATTTCCACACACAGCAGCCTGTGCTCAGCTCCTGCTTTCACCTAAATTTGGACCATGCTGGGCAATTTAAATTTCCAGTGTTCATCTGTGACTCATACCACATTCTTATTTATAAATTAGGGCCTCCCTGGTGGCACAAGGGGTTGGGACGCAGCCTATGAAGCTGTCCGCAGCCTCTGCAGCACGAGTTCGATCCCTGGCCCGCCAGGGAGCAACCCACATGGCATGGCAGACCTCTCCTGACTCGCCCGCTGGTCCCCTCAGCAGTGTACTTCAGTCAACCTGCCTGTTCTGTTCCCCACTCTGTCTCTGGTGAATCCTCTCACCCCCCACACCTCTGGGGTGTACCCCAGCTCTTGTATGCATATTTTTTAAAATTAGGTAAAGCTAATGTTTGCTCCTGTTACCCTGAAGATATGGTCTTCCCAGTGATCTAGAGGGGTCCTCAGGTCTTCCCCAACCATGAGGGATGCCCCCAGACCTCCTGTTAAGCAAATCACCTGTGCTGAAGTGCTCTTCCCTTCACCTCCTTGTCAGCATGGTGGGGGATGTGGGAGGGGACCAAGCTAGCAAAGAAATGTTCCCTTCATTTCACCAAGGGGTTTGCTGTAGGCCCTGCAGATGAGTTGGCAGAAGGCGACTTATTTTCAGGAAACTGCCTGGGGCAGGGACGAGCTCAGCATTTGAACACAGGGATTGGTGGGCAGGACGGGTCGGGGGCATCTTGAGGCTGGCCAAGGGAAGTGGCTGAGGTATACAGGGAGAGGAAGGGGGTGCAGAGAAGTGTACAGTCTGAATCCTCCTGCTTTATTGATTGTTAAATACATGTCCATAGGCAGCCCCCACCCACCCCCAGCTCCTTCTAAGAGTTTAGAGGACATTGTAAATGTTCCCATTCATCAGTCAATAAAAGGCAGGACAGGCAGAGTTTCAAAAGTCTTCCTTCTCCCATCTCAGGAAAACCTTTTGGTCCTCTGACTGCCTGCCACCCCCATCCATCTCCCTCCACCCCCCCATTCCCCCCCACATACACCAACTTTATGTCCGTTTCGACAATTTCATTCCCCAAGAAGTATGTCTAGGAGGCATCTCCAGGGTCAAGTATAAAATCTGCTTTGTAAATTTTGCATAGTATTGAACATTATAAATGAAACATACCTGACTTAATCTGTCTCCCATCAATTTGCACTTAGGTCATTTCTACTTTATCATCAGGTGTTGCCCTTGCAGCTTGGGGTACCCTGGGGCCTCCCACCAAGGCGTCTGGGAGGGAGGGAGATGCCGACCTTCCTTCCTGGGGTGGAGTGGGCAGTGGTGACTTCTCTGGGTCAGCAGCTGTTGGGCTGCCACCCTGGGCTCCAGAGTGGGGGGACAGCTGCTGACCCATCTCTGCAGGGTCTGGCTTGCTGCACTTCTGGGAGACAGAAAGCAGGGTAGGAGACACCCCCAGTGTACCGCCTGGCATCTCCAGGGCTGGCGGTTCCACTTTCACGAGCAGGACACCAGGACGCACCAACAGGTCAGCTTGACCAGAGTCGTCTTCCGACTCCGGGGAGAGTTGCCTGGCATCACTCTGGGCCCCCAGAAGGCCCTGCTGGCAAGAGCACCTGCAGGCACAGGCCTGTGGAACCCGTGAGTTGCCTTCCACACTGGGCTTCTGGATTAGTTTTCGTTTCCGAGCTCTCCTATTCTGAAACCAGACCTGCAGGGGCAAAAGGTGGGGAAAGGAGGAGAGAAGGGAAAAGAGAGAAAAAAGTCATGTTCTAGTTAAGCCCAGGCCTGTAATTATCATCATCAAACAGATATGACCTGAGTTTAACAACTGTCAAATAAACTACTCAAGTTTAGAATGAAAGCAAAATCCTTGTCTAGGCTGGGGCACACTGGTTGCTGTGTGGCCCAAACTACCTTGCAGGCACATCTCCCCAAAGCCCACCTTACACCCACACGTGTATGTTCACACACTCACAAGCATGCAGGTTCTTATCAGGGCCCCCCACTTTCATTCCTGGCCCCTCTTCTCTGCCTCACCAACCACAATTGATCCTGTATCATCCACATAATCTTTTAAATAAGCCTCTCCCCTGCAAGGGGGTGGGGAAATAGGGCAGATGTTGTCAAGGGCTGCAAACTTCATGTGTAAGATGAACAGACCCCAGGGGCCTGTGCACAGCCTGGTGAACAGCTGAGATGAGATCATAAATGTTCTCATCCTCAAAAAAGTTAATTATTTGAGGGATGGACATGTTAGCTAAGCCAAAGTGGTGACCATTTTGTACTATATAAGCAAGTCACATCTACCAGTTGTACGATTTAAATTTATACAATCTTATGTATTGATTATGTCTCAATAAAGTAGGAGGCAAGCTTAAAACTTGCAAGCAAAACAAGTAAATCAGCAAAGCATCCCTAATACCTTTAGACAGAATTTTCAAAAGCCCCAAATAGGCTATTAGGCTAGGGAGCTGGCAAAGTTTGCTTGTTGAAGATCTGGTTAGCATTTTCAAAGGCCCTGACACAGGTCTGAGCCCAGTGCCCCACTATTTTCCAGCAAGTATTTATAAAAATTATCAAATATGTAGTATTAAGAGTGGGCTATGTGCCAGTCCTGAGCATTGGATATGGAGCTACCCCAGGGCCTTTGTCCTAACCAGAGCTTCAGCAATCAAACTTTGCCAGGCACCCTGGGCCTAAAAGCCCATTCCTCCCAGGTGCCTCCTCAAGGATGCCTTTAGGATTTCCAGCTGGAGCTCAGACCCCTAACCTCTGAACCTTGGTACTCCCTGACATGACTTCTTTGGGCAGTAAATGGCCATCAAATTGTACCTAGCTTGGGGCCTCCAAGGAAAAATTATTGGCAAGTCCTCTATCCAGACAGGCTGCCTGCCCCTCCCCCAGAGCTTAAGGTCCCCAGGCCAGTCCATAAGTGGCCACTTAGAGTCCTTACAGTTTCCTCCAAGTCAAATATCACTGGCTTAGGACTGGGAGTGGGCATGTAGGAAAGATGGAAATTTGGGAAAACTGAGTTCAGGTTATACTTCTAAAACTAGGAAGAAACTCCCCCTTCCAGGTTTCTTTCTGTAGGTATTGAGTACTTTTGTTAATGCATCTCTCCTCTGGGTTGTGATGTGGTTAATTATCTCTAGGGCTACATAGATTTTTTTTTTTAAATGATATTTCTAAGACACAAAGCAACCCCTTTGTGGAAGCTAATTCCACTCCAACAGTCCCTGATTGTAAAACATGGTGGAATACCTCTACCCCAGAGTAGAGGCACCCTGTGGGTGATGGACCCTGCTGCACCTGAGAACCATCTGGGGAGACATCCGAGCACCCAAGCTTAACTCTCCAGGTGATAGCCGGTGGCCCAGGCCAGAGGAGGTACGGGGCAGGACGCGGGCGTGCTGGTGTCACCGGGCAGTTTACACACATCCAAACATTCTGAACCAGATGCCTTGGAATAGACCTTGATAGTCTAGGACTGAAAAATGCTGGCCCAGAGTAGAAAATTCCATCCTGGCTACACATTAGAATCCCGGAGGAACTTTTTAGACAACCTGAGGATATTCAGCTCCTATACTTAGGTTCTCAAATTTGAGAGCACACTTCAGTCCCTGAGAGAGGGAGATAAAATCCCCAGTCCCCAGGCTATACCTGTTCATCTCAGCAGACTTCCTAGAGGAGGAGGGATCCAGCCCTCCAGGGCATCAGAACAATCCCCCAAGGCTGAGACCCAGAGGACCAAATGGTCTGGGACCTGACACACTTTTGGAGACCACTGGGAGGTCAAATTTCCTATGTTCCACCCTCACCCCACCCCCACCCCTGTGCTCTGTGATGCCCCTGAGGCTGTGTGGACAGATGAAAGGCAGAGGATGTAAGAATCCAGCCTCCTGTTCAACAATCATTCCTCTTAGTAAATTTCCTCACTAAATTTGAGAATATAGTTGCTTTTGAAAAACAGGTTATTTAATTAATGTGATGGGTTTATTATGGTTATTTCTAAATGAGTTAGTGAATACTTTTGAATTTCTCAGTTTCAATTTCTAATGAGGTAAATATTTGACAAATAAGCCAATTTAGATTCAAATAAGCCAATTTAGATTCTACCCCTGGCCAGAGTTAGAACCTAAGTGACTAACCCTCTCTGATCCTTATTTCCCATCCCAAGAATGGGATAATACACCCCCCACCCTCACTGGGGTGTTGACAAGATTAACTCCAAGAGGTTTTTAAGCCTGTCTTAAAACAGGATCCAATCCCGGGCCTCCCCTGGTGGCGCAGCGGTTGAACGCCGCACTGCCCACAGCCTCTGCAGCACCAGTTCGTTCCCCGGCCGCCGTTCCCACAAAAAAAAAAAAAAAAAAAGCAGGATCCAATCCCACTGGTGATCCCACTGGTCTCCCCACCTGCCCCTCCCTCCTCTCCAAGGCTGATAGACTTCACCTGAATTCGTGGCTCAGGAATCTGGGTTAATTTGGCCAGCTCTTTTATGATGGGAAAGTCGGGGTAACAATCCTTTTCATAGGCGTCACTGAGGATCTTGTATTGATTTTTGTTGAATGTGGTCCTCTTGCGCCTCTGGCTTCCTTGGGGTGCTGGGCAGACACATACAATGTAAGAGGAGAGTGGTCTCAAGTCTCAGTGAGGTCTGCTCTTCACATTTCACACCCAGTGCCCCCAACTCAGGATTTCCACCCGCACATCCTACAACAGAGTGTAGCCCAGACTGTTCTTATGGAGTTTACCGTAATTACCAGTACCAGCTGGAGCAGCACCAGGTCCTCGAGAATCCTATTATCATGTATTTGGGGTAGGACCCAAACTCACAAATATTAAGAAAAATCCCAAACTGAAACATGAGAAATTTCATATGAGAAAAACCTGAAAACTTTAAAATCTGGGAACTTCCATACATCAACATTTTTATTTCCCTTGTGGCCTAGGGAAGCTCCCCAGTCCTCCATGTTAGCTTTGCTCCTGCCTCCACCCCATCTAGAATGCTTCCAAGTTGGACTTACTATAGCCTTGTGATTCAGTTCAAACAATTCACTTAGTGCAGAAAAGTGAGCAAAATACAAGGTTCTGGCCACTGGGACCCATCTCCTCTGGGTCCTCAGAGCCCTGGCCAGCCCAGCTCCCAGGAGATTTTCCACACTTTCAAACTGAAAAAAACACTACCCCATCCTGGGTGCCTCCTACAACTCCCAGCTCAAAGGTAGCTTGTTGGCCTGGTTTGGTGTTTTAGCATCCTACTTGCTCTAAGTCTTGACACCATCCACACCAGGTGAGAGCTACCTTTCAACTCACAAAATATCTCCAAAGACCAACCCCTGCCCAGCCTCCCCTGCCACCAGCACCCTCCTCCAAAGGACTCACCATTTGAAGACATGGCCAGGCTGCACAGCTCCAAGCAGGGACCCGGGGAACTGCCTCCTTCCTTCTGGCTCAGAATTCCCTATAAGCATGTAGACCCACCCAGTTAAGCCCCTTTTTAACACTTAGCAAGACCCACCTTCCTTAATACTATCTTTTCTGGAAGGCTTGATCCCTGGAGTGGTGCTGGGATGCCCTTCCCACTGTGTTCCTGGCTTCACTTCCAGGCCCTGGACTTCCCTCAACTGCTCCGGCCTTGCAGTGTTGTGAGGGGACCACACTTCACCAAGTAGCACCATGGCCATGAGTGAATTAGTTACAGACTGACAAGGAAACACCCACTTTGCTCCCCAAACTTGAGGGGAAGCAGCAGACCTCCCTCACTGTGGAGGTAGGACTGAGAAACACCTCTGTTCCCTTTTATCTGTATTCTCCAAAAAATCATGCAGAGTTTTGATCTCAAAATGAGCTTTTATAAAACAGTTGCCACCCCACCTCCTCAGCACGCAGAAGGCAGTGAGTCAAGACCTAGGGTTAGGTGTATGCCTTACCAGAGTCTTTTTTTTTTTTTTTTTTTTTTAAGATTTATATAAGAACCGGGGTACAGGCCAGATGCGCGGGAGGGTGAAAGGATTCACCAGAGACAGAGTGGGAAACAGAACAGGCAGACTGACTGAAATACACTGCTGAGGGGAGCAGCGGCCGAGACAGGAGAGGTCTGCTTCACTATGTGGGATTCTCGTAGGCCTGCCAGGATCGAACCCATACTGCAGAGGCTGCGGACAGCTTCGCAGTGCGGCGCTCAACCGCCTGTGCCACCAGGGAGGCCCCAGAGTCCCTTTGTTGAACCCCAGGATGGTTTAGTGCCCTGAAAACCCACATAAGTAGAATGGACACAGCTTGCCACCCCCGAAGAAAGGGAGGTGAGCAGTAGCTCACGCTGCTTATTTCACTTCAATGATTAGCAGGGTCTGACCGCTAAAGACCAACAACTGTTCCCCTTTCAAGCTAGTAAGAGTCTCTTTGTTTTTGCTGGATCAATTTGCAAATGAAATAATTTGGAGCATCCTCTTGGGATTGCTTGAGAAAAACAAAGAATAAGAAATTATTTCCACCGATATCTGCAGAGCTGAAAGAATTAAATATACAAAGGAGCAAACTTGAAAAGCTTGAGAATGGAGTGTTAGCTGACTGAGGTCCCCCTTACAGGACCCCGTTTCTGGCTATACAAGCCAGTCTCAACATCAGAGAGCCACCTGGGGCAGAACTACCATACAGCTTAAAGTTCCCACTCCCTATCCTGGGCACAGCTACACCAACAACAAGCAGTCTCACCCTAGGGTGCCCCATTCTGCCCTAAAATGACCATATATGACCCCTTGATGACCCCACCAACCCCACATCCAGTCCACATGACCCCCCCCCATGATTCCAGCTACCTCATATGCAATCTCATACCCCCACATGCTGCTCCAAAATAACTCCATGCTGCCCTACAAGACAACGTGCCACCTGTATGTTCACATGACCTCATGTGACCCTGTACCACCCCAAACCCCAACATGATACTACATAATCCCACATGACCCCACAATAATCCCATGCTACCCTAAATGATCTCATGTGGCCACTCAAGACTTACTTCCTATCACCCCACATGACCCCACTTAACACCTATGCTCTCGCATGATCCCACACGACCCCACAAATGCCACGAAGCCCTACATGAACCAATGCAAGACCCTCATGACCCCATGCAATTCTAATATGGTCCCACATGACCCTACAATCACTCCATACAATCCATGTGGCCCCATGCAGCCCCGCACCACTCCCCACAAACCCAAAGTGACTCTATGGCCCCATGTAACCCTATGGCCCACATGACCCTACTTTGGCTGCATGGAGCCTCATGCAGCCCTATAGGTGACCCCACCCCGGGACCAACCACACCCACAAGTAAGAGAGCTTGTATTTTAACCTGAACTTCAGATTTTGGCTGCTTTCTGCGCCGCTGCAGGGCCCTGAAGAGGTGTGCGCTGAATCATGATTTCCAAGGAGTCACAGGGCCTGCTAGAAAACTAGGATTTGGGGCAAGGACACAGACAATTCAGGCGAGATCCTTTCCTCCCCACCTTAATTGTGTTTTATTAGTTTTATTGGGAAATATTCAGAGGAGTATAAATCATACAAACAAGGTTGACACCAATAGTAGTCCCACATAATTTTTTCAATTTTTCCAGAACTCTAATATTTCTACATGTAACATTTTTATTTGACAAAAGCATAAGCATGTGTAGCGGGCAGGAGGATACAGACCAGGCTTTCTATGATCTGAGCAGACCGGGTAAAGGAGGAGTCCTGGAGCCCTCAGTAGCTTTTCAGTCTTTTATTGGGATTTACCAGGCACATGGCAGGCAGGGGGGCAGGGGTGCTGGGGGGCCGGGGGGGCGGGAGGCCGGGAGGCCTCCCAACCCCCAGCAAGTCTTCACTCTACCTGGGCTCTCTGACGGCCTTGTTTTCTGCTGCTCTCGTGGTTCTGCTCTCTGCTCTCCACTCTTCGGTTCGTTCTCTACTCTCCTGGCGACCGGTGACACCGCCCTTAAAAGCCCAGTCTTAGCCCAGGTGAATCCCATCTACCTATGCCCACACCCTACTCCAGGTGCCTGCCATCAGGCATGCATTCAGGACCTCAAGGATCCATCATCTATCCTGATGGCGGGAGGGCAGAAAAGCTTGATATCTTTTCACTTACCCTACAGTATGATAAATTTAGTAGGCCACAAGACATGTTTCCCTTCTCAAAAATGTCAAAATTTAATAACATACATAAGGAAAATTTACACAGTTGTAAATTCTAAAGCAAAATGGGAAAGGCCAGGGCTATATATATATATATATATATATATATGTTTCATGACCTGAGCTATTAAGGAGAAAGGGAAAAACTTCACAAAACAAGGAAGGTTGTCCTCACCCTTTCACTCTGATAGGAAGGACATATTCACTTATAAACCTACATCTATATGACACCCCCTAACCTGTAGTCTTCCAGCTCACCAAAGGGGGTGCAGTGATTGCTTTTTCAGTGAGGAAAAAGGGCAGAGGACACAGAATTCTTCTTCGTCTCTAGGACCTTCACTGGTCTGAGCATAAAATAATCTGCATTCTGTAAGTATGGTCAGAGTTCCCAAGGCTCGCAGGCTTAGACTGACTGACCTTCAGCTCACCTACCAAGCTGAGATTTATTGGAAGAGGCCCACTCTGAGTATATTGAGAAAAGCCTATCTGACTCTTTGGGGGAAACCAATTCACCACTATCAGCACAGACGCTGCACATAATTGCTGCATAGACATCGTTATATTGATTCAGCCTGTCTTAACTCATCTCCACTGATGGACATGTCCCTTTCTTTCCAATATTTTGGAGCTTCAGTGAATGTCTTTGCAAGAACTTGTGTTGGCAAGATTCCATTCGTAAGCTGACAGCAAACAGAGTGCAGGCCATTCCTTAGTAGAATCATCACACACCTACCAGTGGACATAGAAGCCCACAGGGGCTGCTCGCTCCTAAGTCCCTCAGGACAGACAGAGGAACTTGATTGGGGAACAGGTCTCATTTACCAAGTAGCCTGCAGTTGGGAACTAGCTCACTTTTGTTCGAACCTGTCAAAGAGAAAGGAATGCAGCTGGAAAAGAACTGAAGTTGGCAGAGAATGAGGACATTTTCAGTGCAGAACCTATATCCCCGAGTTTACCAAATCTTAAAGCCTCTTCAGAAAGTCCTGGGGAAAAGACTGGAGACTGGCTGGCTGGGTGTTGCTATTTACATCCAACCAGGGCAAGAGATACACCTGAGGCACAAGCCTTTATTAGGGCCTGGGGGCAGAGTGCCTTGGAGTTCCCAGGCTAAGGCCAGATTAGTCACCTAAAACCAAAAAGAGCTGGGTTTTCAGGGATCTTATCTAAGGGATTCGCCAGGGGAGGCTTTGAGAGGTAGGGCAGGGTGCCTGCTAGGGGAGTTGTATCAGGAACTTGTGCTATTGACTCTCAGGCTGGGGTCTAGCCCAGGTGCTCAGAGTGGGGCCAGTGTCATTTTATTTTTTTAAAGATTTATTTATTTATGCATACAAGAATTGGGGCCAGAGGTGCAGGAGGTGAGAGGATTCACTAGAGACAGAGTGGAGAACAGAACAGATCGACGGAAATACACTGCTGAGGGGAGCAGTGGACGAGTCAGGAGAGGTCTGCTATGCCATTTGGGTTGCTCCCTCGCCCGGGATTGAACGCATGCTGCAGTGGCTGCGGATAGCTTCATAGGTTGCGTCTTAACCCCTTGCGCCACCAGGGAGGGCCAGTGTCATTTTAAAGCAGCTGGCCACACAGAATGGATGCATGATAGCAATACCAGGGTTGACTCAGCTAAACTCTCCACAATCCATCCCTGCGATGGCCAGGCGTCAGGAATAGCAATCACCTGCAGCAGACACATTTTTGGACAAGGGTGTGGTGTTGGGAGCCACCATAAGGCATATTTACCCATAGTGGTGCCCACAAAGCCACTGGTGAACAGCTCACTGCATTTGAAATCCTTTTCTCATCCACTGCTTTTATTTTTATTTTTATTTTTTTATTTTATTTTTTTAAAATACATTTTATTTTTATATTCCCCATACAATTGCAACCCCCTTATTTTGACCCCAATCCCTCCTTTCCCTGCACCCCACCCCCATAGAGTGTCTCTGGTTCATAGTTGTTTGTTGATTTTGACTTTCCCTTTCTTATAGTTATTCATTTTCCTGGTCCCTTATTTAAGTTTTCTAGATTCCTGCTATGAGTGAGACCATCCGGTATTTTTCTTTTTCTTTCTGGCTTATTTCGCTGAGCATGATCCCTTCCAGCGCCATCCATGTTGCTGCAAATTGCATGTGTTTATCTTTTTTGAAACTCACCCACTGCTTTTAGCAGGCAGGGAGACGCCGAGAGCAGCCCCGGGACTGTGGGAAGGCCCCGCCCCATTATTTCGGCCCCGCCCAGGGCGGGACGGTTGCACAGCCCGCCCCGGGCTAAGTAGGGCGCTGCGCTCCGCCCCGCCGCGCGCCCCGCCCCCCTGCCCCGCGGCCCCGCCCCCGCCGGTCCTGGTCCCCTGGGAGCTGCTCCTCACGTGACATCGGCCACTCGGAGACAGAGGTGGCGCCTCGCTCTCTCACCCGCCCTGGCGCCGTGCGCCCGCGGACATCCCCCGCCGAGGGCAGCGCGGGGGGCGCGGGGCGGGGGAGGGTGCCGCCGGGGCCCCGCCGCCGGGCCCGGAGCCGCCGGCCGCCCGTTGCTAGGCAGCCGCGTGGGCACGCCGGGAGCGCGCGGCCCGGGAGGCGGGGGCCGTGGGGCCGCCATGGACCAGTACTGCATCCTGGGCCGCATTGGCGAGGGCGCGCACGGCATCGTCTTCAAGGCAAAGCACGTGGAGGTGAGGTGGGCTGCGGGGCCAGCGGCCGAGGGGGCTGGGTTGGCCTCGCCTTTCCTCCGCCCCTTGCTCACTCCTGCGTGACGTCTGGCCGCTCCTCGGCCCGCTTTTGGGCCCGTCCCCTGCCTCCTCGTGGTGGGGTGCACCCCGACTTGCCGTCCTCGGTAGGATGCCCCGGTGCTGGCGGCGGGACCATCCCTGCCTTCCCTCCAGAGCGAGGTTGCTTTGCATCCCACGAGGGCCTCTGGCCCGGCCCCCAGAGCCCAGCCCGCAGCGCTGCAGTAACTGAGCTCCTCTCGCACAGACTGGAGAGATCGTGGCTCTGAAGAAGGTGGCCCTGCGGCGGCTGGAGGATGGCATCCCCAACCAGGCGCTGCGGGAGATCAAGGCCCTGCAGGAGATTGAGGACAACCAGTATGTGAGTGGCCCAGGTCTCCCTGACTCACCCTCCACTCCCTCTAGCGCTCTGGGGGCCCTTCCCTACTCTGCTCACTTCTCCGCTTCCCCTCCCCGGTCCCCCTCTTCTGTCCTCTTGTTCCCCTCATTCACACATCACCTCTCACTCTTTCACCCGCGTATTTCTTAGTTTTCTTAGTGTATTCATTCATTCACTCACTCACTCTTTGCTGGAAACATTTCGTGATTTCTGGTGACGATAGCTGAGCTTCACGTTCCATAGGCTGGGTTAACTGTTTTTAAAACTTTGCATTTTCTCCACTCTTCTACCAGGCAAGTTGCAGGAAGGAACCTCCTCTTCTTTCCAAGTAGGGGAGGGAGGCTCAGCCACTCACTCCCGGGCACTCTGCTGGGAAGGGGCCTTCAGGTTTACACAGGACACTTCTCTCCCATGATGACCACCGAGGCTCTGGAGTGCAGAGCAGAGCAAATGTCCTTCCCTGAAACAAGGCTGCCTTTCCCAGCTGCCTTCCAGTTCTTGTCTCGGGCCTTGCACTTGCGAGACTTCTGCATAACCTGCACCACCCATGTTTTCTTCCTGTCCTCACGAGAACCTGGATGTACCTGTGGGTTTCTTTTCCCTCATTTGTCAGTTGTTCCTCATGCTATGAGCTCCTTGGTGTTTGCTCCTGCTCACTGCTCTGAAGCCCAGCTTCTCCGGCCAGTGGGCTCTCAGGGAGTATTTGGGATATGTCTCCACTTGTCCCAACACTGGGGACTTGGGACTGTTGCTGTCTCTCTCGGTACTGGGATATGTTTCCCAAGAGAAAAGAGGAGGAGACCTGTGCTCAGATGTGTATCGTGTTCCCCTCCAGCTGATTGTCAACTGGGTGACTTGACTAGGGGGCCAGATGCTACCCAAATGACCTTCCATAGACCTGCTTTCCCCGGCGTGTTTGTTGGTGTTAGACTCGGACCTGCTGTCTCTCAGGAGAGGGAAGCCAGGATTGCTCAGTGCTCCCTGGTTCTGAACTTAAGTTCCATGTCACTTCTCTGCCTCCCTGGGCCTCTTGTCAGTGAAGGACTCAGTATCCCAGGGGTATGGGTGATATGAATTGGGGCTGATGGGATGCCTTGCCCACAGGTGGTGCAGCTGAAGGCCGTGTTCCCACATGGTGCGGGCTTCGTGCTGGCCTTCGAGTTCATGCTGTCAGATCTGGCTGAAGTGGTGCGCCATGCACAGAGGCCTCTGGCCCAGGCGCAGGTGAAGAGCTATCTGCAGATGCTGCTCAAGGGTGTTGCCTTCTGCCATGCCAACAACATAGTACATCGGGTCAGTCCCAGCATGGGGTGGGGCAGCCCTTGCATTCGGCGTGGTCATAAGGGACAGGGCCTGCAGATGTGACCCTGGAGGAGGTAGGGCTGGGGCTGACCAGGGCACACAGGCTACCAAGGTCCTTGGGAACCCTGGAGGAACCACTTTCTTTTGTGTTCTCAGGACCTGAAACCGGCCAACCTGCTCATCAGTGCCTCGGGTCAGCTCAAGATAGCAGACTTTGGCCTGGCCCGCGTCTTCTCCCCAGATGGTAACCGCCTCTACACACACCAGGTGGCCACCAGGTAGGGAAGACTGGTCCTGCAGGATCTGGCAATGGACCAGATGCTAGGGAAGAGATGCTTCTGGACCTTCTATCCAGACATTGCTCATGGGGCTGGTCTGGGGCCAGGATGACTTTCCAAGGTAGCATCTTGTCAGCCCAGTGACCTGGCTGTGATCACCTGCTTTCCTTCTCGCAGGTGGTACCGAGCGCCTGAGCTGCTGTATGGTGCCCGCCAGTATGACCAGGGCGTTGACCTGTGGTGAGTCTTCTATAGGCTAGTCAGGGGGAATGTGGATCAAGAGTCATCTTTTCTCCTGAGCATCGAGTCTCCAAACCATTTGGGGGTGTCTTCCTGCTGTGCTCTAGGTTTGCCTGGGAGTGTCTGCCCCTTGGGGTATCTCTGAGTATTCTGGGGTCGGTGTTCTCCATGACATTTTTGAGCTGTTTGAGAGTTGGGTGGGATCAGTGTTTTTCTCCATGAGAAGCTTCTGGGCTGGGATGGGAGAGGTGGTCTGGGCAGGACAGATAATCTGAGGATGTGATATCTCTGAGCTGTCCAGAGGCCTGGGTTTCTGGTGCGAATGATCTGAGCCTTTATTTGGGGGAATTTGGCTCGTGTGTACTTAGTGTTTGAGATTTGGGAGGATGTTTGGAGGTCTGCAACACTGTGTGTGGCCCTCAGAAGTCTCAGAACTATTTCTGGGTTGCAGTGTACTCCAAGGGGGAGAAGAGGGGGATATGCTCTGTGTTCTAGGCTTCAGGTCTTTGACTATTTGAGGATCTGTATCCTTGGATATCAAGCATCTAGGCTGCCTTGTGGGGTCCTTGAGCCAGTCTGGGGTGTGAGCACTGGTGTGAGGAGATGTCTATGGTGAGAGGTGATTAGAGCTGGTGTGGGGAGATGTGTCCATGCTATGAAATATCTGAGATCTGAGCTGTTGGTGTATCTGCAGGGCTGTGGGCTGCATCCTGGGGGAGCTGTTGAATGGATCTCCCCTCTTCCCTGGGGAAAATGATATCGAACAACTTTGCTGTGTGCTTCGCATCCTGGGCACTCCCAGCCCTCAAATCTGGCCGGTTTGTAAGGGCCCTGGTGGGGAGGGGTGCAGGTGTCCTCCATGCCTCAACAGCCAGTGACCCCTCCCCCACACTTCATGTCCCCATACCTCCTTGACATCCTGGACCATGATCCTGGCCCAAATGCAGGGTTCCTCTGAGAAGATGCAAAGGTCTGTCCCCTGTCACTTCCCACTCATGCACATCACACACGCAGTTCTCACCCACTGGGCACAGAAGGCACCCAACACTGAGGAGGGTGAAGGAGTAAAGGCCTGAGTATGCTCTGGGGAAGACAAGGTGATCTGTGTGTCAGTGGCTCCAGATGGGGCATGTGGGCTCAGTGAGTAAGGACTGAGGATGGACGAGCGGGCAGGCAGTGAGGCTCATGCACCTTTTCTCGCAGGAGATCACGGAGCTACCTGACTACAACAAGATCTCCTTCAAGGAGCAGGCACCTGTGCCCCTGGACGAGGTGCTGCCCGATGCCTCTCCCCAAGCCTTGGACCTGCTGGGGCAGTTTCTCCTTTACCCGCCAGGCCAGCGCATCGCCGCCTCCCAGGTAAGCCCCCTAGCAGTGCCCTTCCTCCCCAGTGGCCCCAGGATGGGGGGTCTGTCAGAACTGTGCTAGGCTGGAAATATGACCTTCAAGGCTGGGGGCATGGAGCAGTGCGCCTCTCTTGTGGGCAGAGCCCAGGGTGTGGGCAGCCCCTACCACACACCAGAAGAGCACATCTCCAGGATATCAGTGGCTCCCTCCAGCCCTTCAACAAGTATCTGCCTCTGGCAGGTGCTGTGTGTCGTCCTCGGTTCTGGCCCAGAGTGAACAAGCAGACTTCGGTTCTGTCCCCTTCCATGGGGTCTCCACCCTGTGGCGAGGAAGTGGGCAGACTGGGAGTGGGGTTGTGGGGAGAGCTTGGGACTGACTTGGGACTGACTTGGCTCTTCCTGGAGGAGCACAGACTATGCACAGGGAGGTGTTTTCCAGAGATAAGTGATCAGCAGAGGTCCAGAGAGGTGCCCAGGAGGGGTGGGAGATGGCTGAAAGGCAGAGAAGCAGGAGGTCCTTGGCTGATGACTGATGGTCAGGGCCTCCTGGATGAACCTGTTTCTCAGGCCTCATGCCAGCATCCCCTCCCCACCCTGAGCACTAGTGATTCTGCACATCCCTGTGAGTCCCACATCAGCGGCCTTCAGAGTCCACTGAGACCAGTGGCTTCCCAACCCCTGCTCTCCAAGTCTCAGCCACTGTGCACCCAGTACCTCCCAGAGACTGCCCTCAGTGTCCCTACCACCCCACAGAGAGTGACTTCGTGCAAGCAGGCTGCCCACCAGCCTCTGCAGGACATCTATCTCCCTCCCCTCCACTCGTGGCTCCCTCTCACTTGGCAAGCCCAGGGCCTTCCAGTGTCTACAGGGTCCCATGCTCGGGGCCCGAGCTCTGTGACCTCGCTGGCAGCTGTCTCTTTGCCCAGGTCCTTCAAGTCCCACCACTCCCCCATGTCCTTGGTCTCCATGTTTGTCCCCTAGTTGGGAGGCTCTTTGCCAGCATCCTTGGCCTCCCATGCTCACTGATCACTTTGAGGGTCTGCTGGGTGCTCTGAGGGCCCCCCACTTTGCTCTTAAGACCTGCAGCCTTTGTGGTGTCCCCAAGCCTGCTCCTGCTTTTCCACAGCACTGGTCCTCTAACAGACTGTAGCTTTTACTTTTCCTTCATTAACTACACCCCCAGCTATGTGGAAACTTCACGTGTGTGCAGCTCTGTTTGATCACTGCAGCAACCCAGCCTCCGAACAGCTCAGACATGAGAGGCAGCTGGGTGGGTGAGCAGGTAAAGGAGTAAGCCCTGAGGGCAGTATGCTGAGCTGGGATAGGAAGTAACTGATCCTCACTTGCCCCCCCAGGCCCTCCTGCACCAATACTTCTTCACCGCCCCCCTGCCTGCCCACCCGTCGGAGCTGCCTATTCCTCAGCGCCCAGGAGGCCCTGCCCCCAAGTCCCATCCAGGCCCCCCTCATGTCCATGACTTCCATGTGGACCGGCCTCTCGAGGAGTCATTGTTGAACCCAGAGCTGATTCGGCCCTTCATCCCAGAAGGCTGACTCGGGCCAGGCCCCTGATCTATCCCCAGGACCACGGCCTCTGTTCCTCTGCTCCTGCCTGATTTGGTCTTTCACAGCCTACTACTGCCACGCTGAACCACTCCATATCTGCTCCGCTTCTGCCCCAGCAGGCAAGAGGACATCTGGCCTCAGTAGAGCAAGACACCGGTGGCCTGTGCTGCTGGCCTCCCATCTGTGCCACGACTGCCCCTCAGGAAGAGCTCTCTTGCTACTGTGCAGGGACCACCCATGCTGAGGGGCAATGCCTGTGTGGTGCTATTTTTCCAGGCTCTGCCTTCCTGCTCAGGGACAGTTATTTTGGGGCCATCTGGGAGGGTGGGGTGCCGCAGAGTGTACGATGCCCTCCGTTGGCAACACAGGTGGAAAGGAAGGCTTGGTTTGATTTTGTTCTTGGAGACATTAAACACTAGTTCAGTTTTAAGGTTATAAAAACCCCAAGTATCTCTGTCTGGTGTCTGTTCCTCTTTAGGGCTGAGGTGGCATTGTCACCAGGAAAATGGCCCCATTTATGACCACATTCGTTCTGGGAGCTTCATAGCATGGAGTTCCCATTTGGAGGAGAGGTAGCAGAAGTCAAGGCTTAGGGATAGCTCACGTTGGAGGCCAACACATTAAGGCAGTTTACCAACATTTGCACCCTCGCCGTAAGGGTGGGCCAGGACCAGATGTGCTACTGCCTTACTCAGGGATACCAAGTGAACAGGGGACAAGCATTCCTAGAACACATTTGTTCAATAAATACATTATAATCCCAACTGACTCTTGTTCTTATTTAATGTGGTTTGATTTTAAAATATATTTGGAAATGAAGAATTAAGAGAAACAAATGGAGCTGACTCTTCATCTTAACTGGAACCTCAGCCCACCCTGACCTTTCATTTGACCTTGAGCCTGACCCTGATGTGTATACCTGACCTCATCCACCCTTCACCTTCACCCTTAACCTGACAGAAATTTACCCTGAATTGTACATTCACCCTCACTCTGATTCTGACCCTCATCACTGTCCCTGGGTCTTGCCCTCATCCTGAATGTGATCCTGATCCACTCTGGCCAGGAAGAACAGAATGAGGTCAGGGTCAAGGCCACACCACAGCTAGGTGAGGGTCAGGGTAGGGGCCACAGGGTGGGAGGCATCAGGGTTAGAGCAAGGGTCAGTTATAGGGCAGCTGAGGGTCATTTGAAGGCAATTGTGAAGGTGATGGTCAAGGTCACGGTGAAGTTCAGGGTAAGAGTGTGTCAGGGTCAGGTGAGGGTAGAAACAAGAGTTAGGGGAAAGCAGTGGATGCTATGGAGGCCAAGGGTTATGATCAGGCTGAGTCTGAGAGAGAGGGTCAGAATAAAAGTAAGAGTCAAGACCAGGGGCAGGGTGAAGGTCAGGCCCAAACAGGTGAGAGGTCCAGGTCGAAGGCCACGCCGAGAGGGTAAGAGAAGAGGGCATGGAGAAGAGGGCACATTCAAGGGGGAGACTGGCAGGGCCCAGGGGGTGCTAGGTTCAGTGCTACCACAACGTCCACAGTGAGGGTCAGTGAAAAAGCACAGATCAAGAGCAAGGTCAGGGCAAGATGAAGAAGTTAGAGGTAGGGGGAGAGCAAATGTCAATATAAAGGGGTGCTCGAGTGTCTGGGGGAGAGGCAGAACTAGGATTGAGAGTAAGGGAGGGAGCCAGGGCAAGTCAAATTTCGGGACCCTCTGTTGAATGGGGCGTGGCAAACAGGACCTGGCGGGGCTTGGCCTGCGGGGCGGAAGCGCGGCAGGGGGCGGGGCTTGGCCTGCGGGGCGGAAGAGCGGCAGGGGGCGGGGCTTGGCCTGCGGGGCGGAAGCACGGCAGGGGGCGGGGCTTGGCCTGCGGGGCGGAAGCGCGGCAGGGGCGGGGCCTGGCCTGCGGGGCGGGAGCGCGGCAGGGGGCGGGGCCTGGCCTGCGGGGCGGGAGCGCGGCAGGGGCGGGGCCTGGCCTGCGGGGCGGGAGCGCGGCGAAGGTGTGGCTGGGCGGAGCGGCGGGCGCGGAGGGCGCGATGGAGCCGCAGCTGGGGCTTCACGAGCTGCTGCATGTCTTCTCCTTCCTGGAGGCGCGAGACCTGCTCTGCGCCGCCCAGGTGGACAAGGTAGCGCGCCCTTTCCTGGGCGGGAGGCGGGACTACATTCACGGTGGCTGGCGCGGCCGGCCGGCCCTGCCCTCCGGGCCTCAGTTTCCCCATCGAGAGGGGCGCCGAGTGGCCCCGAACCAGGGATGAGCGGCCGGCGCTGTGGCCGGGGATGGGGGCCTGGCGACCTTGGAGGGCTTCCCATGAAAGCTCCCACTCTGTGGTCCCCCAACTCTGTGGTCTCTGAACGAGGTGCGAGCGTGGGATTGGCACGCGCATCAGACTTCTCCCTCTTCTGGAATATTCTGTGATTTCCCTCCGGGGCCTTACTAGAGAGTAGGCTCCCCCTGCAGGCTTAGTCTGTCCCTTCCCAGCTCCCCTCCTTCCCACCCGCTCCCTCCCGACCGTTTGTGCTCACCTCTGGGTGGCTGCACCCCCGAGGCCCCTTTTGAGACCCCCTCACGTTGTGGTTGAGTGATCCCAGTGTGTGGACTTAGCGTCTGCTTTCCCGCAACACCCGTCCTCAAGAACAGGGATTTAGCCTTTTGCATTACTGTTTTTGGCACTTAGTGTCACTGTATGTGTTGGCATTTAGTGTAGCCTCAGTAAATATTTGTAGAGTAAATGGACTTCTTTACTTTTAAAATACATTACTGTGTCGTTGAACACAAAGATTAACAAACAGAGCCTTGCTTGAGTTCTGTAGTTATAATTTTTAATGTCCCAAAAAAGTACTGGTGTTCATGAATAAGGAAGGTATCAAACAGCTGCCCAGAGTCACTCCGCCAGCCTGGCACAGTGCAGGAGCTGGAGCCTTGGCTGTTTTCACAGAGGAAGGGTAGGAGTGAGGCACTCTCATCCTCTTCTGGGCCACCCCGAGCCTGCATCGAGGGCCCAAAGAGTGCCCTCCCCGAGGTGACTGATCTTTACTGCTCTCTTGGTCTTTCTGGGACATTCCCTGGACCAGTGCCCAGGGCCCCAGCTTCAGGACTGCTGCTCTGCCCTTATTTCCAGTCCTTCCTTCTCACAGCTAGCAGAGTGATCATCCTAAAGCAGTTTGACCTACCACTCCCCCACTCTGAATTCGTACTTGCTTCTGTTTTTGCCATTATGATTTAAGGGATTTGGTCAAATCCAATCTCCAGCACCCAGAAACATAGATTCTAATTAAGACACACTTCTCATGGCTTGGCCCAGTGGTTCTACCTCTTCCTGCCCTTTTCTTGTAGGGAACACCCACTCGTCCTTTGGGATTTTACCAGTAAACATTTCTGTGCCCGTTGGTCTCATTGAGTTGGTCGTTCTCTCCTTTCATACTCATTATTTGGTTGTTTTGTTTGTCCAGATAAGTTGCTAATTCCCCAGGGTGTATTTTATTGAGTGTAGGTTCTGAGTCTGAAGCAGCTGCCTGTACCTTTCACAGAGCCTGGCAGGTGCTGACTCATATTGACTGCCCAGATACTCTTTTTCTCTCTTGTTCTAGGTCTGGAATGAGGTTTCAAAAACCAAGGAACTGTGGAGGTGAGTGAAGAGCAAACCATCTTGGGAGAGTGCCCTGCCAAGGAGAGATGGGCACACTGCATAAGTCCATAGAACCTTCTGGTTTCTTGTTCTGTTGACAGCACAGCCCCTACAAGCAAGAAACTCCTTCCTGGTTGGGCGTAAGCCTGTTTTATAGTATACTGGAATACTAATCCAATGGCAGGCTGATAGCAGGCGTACCCAACTGAGGACCAGAAATGTACAGCAAATGAATGCAGCTGGCTGAAAGAAGACAAATCAACAAATCACTTATAATTTAACTTTGGTGTAACAACATAGCAATTTATACATATCTGATAGCAGCACTTAAAATCAAGAAATTATGCTTGAAATTTAAAAAATTTTAATCTTCTAGTTAATAAATTTTCTTTCCTGTTTACCCTTAATTTGGAATCTGACATCTTTTCTTTTGTCCCAGATGTGTCAGATCTTCTGCCTCTTGCTGAATACTGGACAGAGTGTGGCCTTGACTCTGTCAACTAGGAGCTATATTTAGTTTTAATCATTAGTCATGGAAAACAGCTGTTCACACATGGAGGCTCTTCTAAACATGGAAGGGAATTTTGCTTGAATGTTTTTATTTTTAGGGTAACTGTACATTGAGATATTTGAGACTTCTGGATTCCAATCTTACCATACTTAGTTTTCAGTGTAATATAGCACTATTCTTTTGTTGCTTTTCATTACTAATAATATGAATTAGAAAAACTCCTAATCTCTTTAGTCAGTTTGAGGAAACTTTTTTGGATTTCAGTCTTTATGATCCTCCTCAGGACAGGATGTGTGGTAGAAGCTCCAGAGAGGGATTTAGGGGACTTCCCCATGTTAGACCTCCGTCAGCTTCTCAGGCTAATCCAAACAAGTACAGTCTGTGGCCAGCATTAAGAAAAAAGCAAGACTCACTTTGGAAGCAGCTTCAGGAAGAGTGCCCATTCTAACCAGATCACTGCCAGAACCTCCTTCCTTTACATAGACTCTGGAGCAGCCCCTGGTTCACATCCGTTGTTTCCTAAGGCGTCGGCCCAACCTTCCTTAGGTGCTCTGATGAGGCTGATGTGATGGGTAGGACCCTGGCCATTTAGTTATTTCCTACAGCTGTGTGCTCATTATACTCAGCTTGGCTGTATGTTGAGCCCATAAAAACACTGTTAATGCTATGATTTCTTTTTATTTTAAAAAAACAAACAAACCAAAATGACGTATGTAAATCCTATCTTAACTACATTAAATGTATATCCATTAAATACTCCCATAAGAAGACAGAGATTGGCAGAAGGGATTAAAAAATATGATCCAACTTTATGCTATCTAGTGAGACACATTTTAGATTTAAAGGATAGATAGGTTGAAAATAAAAGAATGGAAACAGATAGACCATGTAAGCAAAGGGTTGGAATGGTCATGCTAGTTTCAGACAAAAGAGACTTTAAGACAAAAAGCATTACTAGAGATGAAGGACTTTCTATCAGGAAGATGTAAAAATTATAAACATGCATCTAGTAATAGATCAGCAACATCATGTAGGCTGACGATATTTAGGGGAGGCAAGGACAATTCAACAAGAGTTGGAGATGTCCAAGAATTCAGACTTATGAATTCTAGTTTCATGACCAAGACTGTATGGCTTTGGGTTCATTACTTAACCTCTCTGTCTTTCTGGCCTCGTGTGGAATGAGGATCAGGACCCCTTTTGGATACACAAAAGCGAGCCATGTGGCGAGCGCTCTTGTCGTCTCATTCAGGGGGAAACTGAGGTCTGTGTAGGTAGAATGAGTTGTCCAGGCTAATAGGTGGTGAAGCCAGGGATCAAAGTTAGGCTTATTAATACCAAGATACCTTCTAATGACTGCTCCGTCCTGCCTGGAATTGTGGGTCCTTTTTTCAGGCAGCTGTGTTTGAGACGCTGGTCCTCACATAAGGCCTCCCAGATGATCCTGGGCAGCCAGACCTGGAAACAGTACTATCTCTGCCGATCCGAGCTGGAGTTCCGAATGGAGTGTGGGAGGCCAGAGAAGGATTTCACTTGCAAAGCCATTGCTGGCCACAAAGGTATGGGGCAGCGGTGGGCACCCCCTGGTCAAGTCCTGGGACTTGATGTTTCAGCCAGTGAGTTGGAAACACTTCATGAGAACCCTGCTGGCTTCTATGTCTGTTATGTCACGTATCCTCACGGTGGCCCTGAGAGGAGGGGATCATTACATCGATTTCAGTAAAAAGAAGCGGAAACTCAGAGGGTGGGGAGTTGTTCATGGTTACAGGTTTAAGACAAAAGGTGGGCAGTCCTGGATGTAAAACCACATTGTTGGTCTGCAGCAGCCCCATCTCTCTGGCCAGTGTTGTTCCCTGATGTGTGCTTGTCGTGCTCCTGAGAGAAAGAGAGACTTCAGATGGAGTATTCCTATCCCAGCAGTTTGTGTGTGCGTTCCAGGTCAGTCTGCGTTCTCTTTCAGGAGAGATAGACGAGCTGGCTTACATCTCAAACAACGAGTACCGTTTTGATGGGCAGGAGAAGTCCGTGGTGTGCACCGTGTCCTCCGATGGCACTGTGCGTGCCTGGGATGTGCACGAGGTGAGTAGAGGGGAAGGTGGACCCCATGCATGCTACGTCCTCAGTCTTAGTGCCACCCTTCATCCTCATTCAGCCATCATGGGAGACTTGTGAAGTGAGGAGGGTGAGCCCCGCTGGACCGATGGGAATCAGCTGCAGGGACTGGTGGCTGTGCCAGTCTAAGCTGCAGACGCCAGTCTGACTGATGGCAGATGCCATGCGCTGCCCACCTCAGGGAGAAGGGCATGCTGACAGTGCCTGGTGTGGGGCCACTTAGAGTGAAAAAAAATGCTTCCCTGCCTGTTTTCTCATTGGTTCTCAGAGCTTGTTATTACTCATCCTCATTTGATATAAGTGGAGACTGAGGTTGAGAGAGCGAAGATGCAAGTTGAGAGGTTCTGCAGAGGCCCACTTGTAAACAGAACCCAGCCTCCTCTAAGGAGTCTTTTTCCTGGAGAACCACAGCTTGCTTTATGTTCCCATTGCTGTTGCCAGGACGGGGCACCTCGGGTCCTCGCTTCATTATGTAGCTCCTCTGGGCCGGTGGGTGTTCACCTCCTGTTGCTCAGGTCTGCCACATGTCACCAGTTTCTTCTCGTAAAGTTAGTGCACAGACAGCAGAGGGGGGACCCACAGCAGGGTGCTGGGCAGCTCCACCCCATGCCCAGCCTCCCAACCGTGCCACATAGTGTTGCATGCCCCTGCTCAGCCCTCTCCTTGACCAGGGACCCACTGGGCCTGGCCCTCAGTCCTCCTAGTGGTACTACCACCCCCAGGAAGTCCTCACACCAGGCTCAGACCCTGCCCTCCTGTGCAGCACACGTCTGACTGCACACAAAGCCCAACAACAAAGCACACGTCTGACTGCACACAAAGCCCAACAACAAAGCACACGTCTGACTGCACACAAAGCCACAAAGCCCAACTTCCACGCTGTTTCCTTCTGTACTGTGGACGCTGTCTGGGCACGGCCCTGCCTTCCCACCTGGGTGCCCCTGCTGTGCGCTGGTGACAGCCCAACAAATGAGAACACATTCTGAAATAAACAGCACCCATCTAACTGTATTCGTTTTGTTCTTGCCCAGGGCACTGAGATCTGGTCCAGCCCCCTCCAGCCTGCTGCGCTGGTGCACTTGGTGACCTACCCTCGGCTGCAGCTCGTTGTCACCGTGGACGAGCGGGGACTGATCAAAGTGTGGAAGGCAGAGGACGGGTGGGAGTCGGCCTCCTTCTGCCTCCCCACACACTCATCTGCCTTGGAGGCCTGTGACCACCCTGATGGCCCCTTCCTGCTGGTGAGTGACTGGCTCTCGGGCCCTGTGGATGCCAGCCGACTCAGCTTGTGACCGCTGGTGCGTGGCTGCCCTGATGGCCAGCACCTCCAGCCAGGCCCCTGTGTGACTGATCGAGTGACCGCTCATTCTCCCGCTCAGCCTGGCTCCTTCTCCCTGCCACTGTGTGGGGGCTTCCTCTCAGTGAAGCCCAGCCCCACATTCACACACTCCTGCCCTCTCTCCTGGACTTAGATCAGAGTCTTTATTTCTCTGCTATCCTGACAGGAAAAACTGAGGCAAGTTCGACATATTTGCCCAAAACGTCGCCAGCCTTCTGTTGTCAGGACACTTGGTTTCAACATGATTCTTCGGCACTGGGAATATTTAGCCAGGGAGAAGCAAATGAAAGTGGGTGTAGGCATGTCGAGGGAGTGGCTCTTGACAGGGGGCAGTGACCTCCCCTGTGGGGGCAGAGGTTCTTTGAGTGTGAATTAGTGAACTGGAGGAACTGGCATCCCAGATGACAAGAAGAGCAAAGATCCAGGACCAATTTCATGTGTAAAGAGAGCTGACTGTAAGGGAACTAAAGCTCAGCAAACAAAATAGCAATACCTGGTGAAACAGATTTCATATAAACAACTGTAGTCATTTGAAGAAGGATACATCTTAGTATATCCAACATAATTTCAAATAAGAGTAGATGAAGAAGCAACTATAGGTCCCTCCTGGGAATGGTGGACCATGAAGTTCACAGTCATCTCTGTGAAGAACAGAGTAAAATTAGACTGTCTAAATCTGCTGATAACATAGGAGAGCTGAGAAGAGCAAACAGTTTCAAGGGCAGCCTTCTGGAGATGGCAGACATCAAAGCTGTAGTCCTGATGTTGGGGCTGTTTTGTCCTGTTGTGTTTACTCCAAGGCACCTGATGGCACAGAAGGCAACATGTGGGGTCCTCAGAGGATGGGAGAGATGTCACCAGATGACTTAGAGCAACAAACAATGAGGTAACAGATTTAGAAAAGAACTAAATCTGTTAGTCCATTAAGGTGGGCACCTTACTTGGGACAGGTGCGTGCTGTGGGCAGCACTCACATGCTGCCCCTTTCTTGTTTACTCAAAGGATGGCCTTCTCCAGAAGTGTCGCGTGAGGACAAAGGGACGCTGGCTTCCCCCTGCAAAGGGGTGCATTAAATGCAGGCCTCTCAATCTTCAAGATGTCATTTCATCTCAGTAAGGAGGCTTCTGTAGCCTTGTTGCAAGGGCCTCATGCATTCTGGGAACAAATAGTCTTGGGCTTGGGACATGTGGAAAAGAATACAAGACTCATCTAACACGGCATTTCAGGAAGGTTGAAGTTAAAAGGGTAAGAAAACAAAATGCACCAGAGATGCCAGCCAAAAGCAAACTATGCAGCCATTAATTTGGACCAAAAACCTTCAAGTCAGAAGTCTTCACTTTCAGGGGACTTGACATAATAATAGATCAGCATCCCAGGAAGATAGAGCAAGGCTAATTTTGGATGCACCTCAAAAGATGGCCTAAAAATATATAGAAAATAAATTTATGGAATTTCAAGGAGACAAAAGTCTACAAGGATTATGGAAATATCTGTTACACTGCTAAAGAGTGATGATCTGGGGTGCCCTCTCTAATCGCATTAAGTGCTGGTCACAGAATGGGAAGTCAGAGAGACTCAAGGACTGTGGGCACTCACATCAGCCCACTGCTGGCTACTAATAGTAGGGGACCTGGTCATGACTATGGTCCTGCCACCAAACAGCAAAGTAACTGTATTTCTGCAGCTAATAGGACTGAACTGCCAACGGTCTGAATGGGTCCCTGGATAGAGAGATATCTGGCACCCTGACATATTGGCTTAAATTTGTGTGGTTTCTTCTTTAACCCATGGGTTCCTTCTGAGTTCTACGTGCAGGGCAGTGGCTCATTTCAAGTTAGTGAAATGAGCAGCACAAGATCAGGTTGAGGCTCATTTTTTCTAATGAATGTTCAGTATTCATAGGACAGGCCATCTTTTCGTCATTGAATTACATCGGTGCCTTTGTCAAAATGTCAACTGGCTGTATGAGGTGAGGTCGATTTCTACCAATCTGTGTCTATGCCAGTCAACACAAGTCTCAACTGGCTGCAGATTTATATAAAGTTGTAACCTCCAGCCTTTTTTCAAAAATACAGGCATTTCCACAAACATTTTCAAGTCATTTGCCAATTTCTACAAAACTGCTTACTCATATTTTGATGGCATTGAATCCAGATTGATTTGGGACAATTGACATCTTAATATTATCTTCTAAAGCTGTGAACATGGTATGTACATCTCCATTTATGCAGGCCTTCATTAACTTTCTCAATGGAATTTCATAGATTTAAGTAAACAGGATTTACATGTAAGTTGTTAAAATTATTCGTAAGTATTTCATACTATTTTAAATGTTCTAAAATTTATTTCATTTTCCAATTTTTCACTGCTCATATTTAGCATATATGTAAAGGAATATAGAGGAATGTATAGTTTTGCATTTATAAGGAAATTGCATATATATAGCACATTTATAGAAATCATTTCTGTATACATAGACATAGAAATACACTTGATTTTTGTATATACACCTACCCAGCAACCTTACTAAATTCACTTCTCTATTATAGTATGGTTTTTTGGAGAGTAGTAGAAAATTGCCATAGGTACGTAAAGATTTCTTTTTTTTTTTTTAAGATTTATTTATTTATTTATACATACAAGAACTGGGGTGTAAGGCCAGAGATGTGGGGGGTGAGAGGAGTCACCAGAGACAGAGTGGGGAGCAGAACAGGTGGATCTACTGAAATACACTGCTGAGGCAAGCAGCAGGCAAGACAGGAGATGTCTGCAGCACCATGTGGGTCAGCTCTCTGGCTGGGGATTGAATTCATGCCACAGTGACTGGCGTTAGCTAGATAGTGCTGAGACCTTAACCCCCATGCCACCAGGAAGGCTCCTGGTAGCTAAAGATTTCTTAGGACATAGAGCTCTGACTGTATAAGAAAAACATTGATAAACTGGACTTCTTCAAATTCAGAACTATTGCTCTTCAGACGACATTGTTAATAAGAAGAGGTAAACCTCACACTGGAAGAAAATATTTGTCATATTATAAATAACACAAAATTTATGTCAGGAATATATACAGAACTATTAGCAACCAGTAAAAAGAAGGCAGCCCAACTTTTAAAGTGGGCAAAAGATTTGAACATTTCACAAAATAAGCCATAAAACTGGCCGTTAACACATGAAAAGATGCCCTACATTTCAGTCATCAGCAAAATGCAATTTTAAACCACAGCAAATCAGTACTGTGTCAGCCTGAATAGCTGAAATCAAAAATGTGTTTGCAAAAGATGTGGCATGGCTCTTTGGAGAATAACTTGCTACTTATTTTAATGTTGACTCATATTTCCTATATTATCCGGCACTTGGGGGCAACCCAAGTTCTTATCAGCAGGTGAAGGTCTTTATAAAGAATGGGAGTAATGTGCTGCATGGCGGTCAAGGATAACTGTATGTACCCAACTACCATGTAGTCTCGGTGGTAGGAGGGTGCACAGACCATCTAGATTTGCATACTTTCTGTGACATTCACACAAGGACAAATTGCATAATGGCATTTCTCAGAATACATTCCCATTAAGCAGCATGTGACTATGAACTCAAATACAAGGAAGGAGCAAACTGGACATATGGACAACGTGGATTAATCTCAGAAGCATGCCATGCAGGGGAAGCCAGATATCAAAGCCAGATATCAAAGAGTAATAGAATGAAGTTAATGAAGTAGCCATCAGTGCTATTTTAATCTGTCAAGTTTTAAAATTTCCTCTTGTTTGTATGACTTCATTAACTCCTGTATCTTTGGAAACTATTTCAAGGTGTTAATTTAAAATAACAAGTGTGTGTACCTTGGTGAGTGGCAGTTCAGCAGCAGCCACCACCTTTGGGATAAGATGCTGCTCCCGGCACTCTGCTGACTTCTAGACCTTTCTGTTACAGGCTGCCTGTGCTGAAGGAGCACTCTACACCTTGATCCTGCCCCAGCTGCAGCTGCTTTCCAAAGTGAGCGTGTTTCCAAACAATCCCATGAGTCTCCTTTGCTCTCCTGACTGGCAGTGGGTGTTCGTGTCGACCCAGAACTCAGACCTGGGTCCGAAGGTCAGTGTCAGTTGTATTCCTTATGCCAGGGGCCTGACTATATAAGCAAAGTATTGGGTTCTGCCCCCTAGGCCTGTGGGATGCATCTGGGAGGAAGGCTTCTCATGTAGGACTGAGGCCTGTGGCCACCATGATGATGGATAGTCACTGGTGGCAGTCACCACAGAAATGACCTTCTCAAGACACTGGCTGAATTGGTGGTGCTGCCATCCTCTCTCCAGAGCTTCTGGACTTTCTGGGATGCTGCGCTTCCCACAGGCTGAAGGGGTCAGCTGCCCAGCTGGCATTCTGTTTAGAAGAGTGTTGGGGCCTTAGCCAAACGTGGTGGAAAATCTCACGAGACATCTAGTGGTTTGAAAACAGAGCTCCCTTGAGGGTGAGAACAACAGCATGCAGCTCAAGCCCAGAGGAATGCTGATCAGCTGGGGAAAAGGCATAGCAAAAGCTGTAGACTGTGGCCTCTGTGTCACCGACCTATGAGGGTGGTTCACGGCCAGAACTTTAGGAGCAGGGACAGTGATGCAATTTCTGAATCCTGGCCGAAACTGGAAATTAGAACAGAAAAGAAAGCAGACAGCTGGAGAAGCTCTGGGACATGCTAGATGTGGTAGCCAGGAGAAACACAGAAGTTCCAGAGCAGGAAGAACCAGCCATGCCAGTACCTGGTAGCCAGGGAGGCCAGTGGGCAGGAAGGGCAGCCGGAGACAGGCCACAGAATCAGGGAGCAGCAGCCTGGGACCTTCACCAACACGGGGCATTTGGAGTCAGATGCTGAGGTAGGAAAGGAATATGTAGAAAGACAATGCAGGCACAGCAAAGTGATGATGTAACTCCACTCAACCAGGAAGGCCTTTATTTGATTTATCCATCACACTGGCTTCACTGGGTCTCATGTGCTGAGGCATTTCCAGCAGACAGATGTAGGCTGCTATGAACCTTGCTGCTCTGGGCATTGCACCCTGGTAGAGCGCCCACAGATGACCCCAGCTGCCTCATAAGACCCACCAAGGTCATGGAGGGTGCGTGTCTGTGGGCAGAGTGGCCATGGAAGGCTTCATGGAGTGCTCCCAGGTCAGATACAAGCCCTTTCTCGCCTTGGCTTTTCCCCAGGTATTCCACATGCACTCCTTGCTGTGTCCATCAGAAGACGAGCCACCTATCTCCGCCACCCTCCCCATCTTGCTGACCTCCAGAGCTTGCTGGGCACCTGATGAGGTGGCCAGGCTCATAGTGATGCACAGAAGTGGTAACGGCATGCAGTTGGTTGTCACCACCTACAAGCTAGAGACCAAGAAGTCCAGGGACAATGTGGACATTGTGGGTAAGGGCCCTGTGTTGATACTGTCATCACCATTGCATTAGGATGCTTCAAGTGCAGAATCCTCATGCTTCCTTTGGGGCACTTTGTCATTTCTCTCAGTGAATATAGTCTGTGATTTATGTACTGACTGAATGGTTGAGCACTTGCCACTTTGTGGCCCTGGGATTCACTGCTGTTCAGTCTCCCTTCTCATTGGCCTTCTTTCTTCCATCATTCTTAACCTCTCTTCTCACAACAGTGTTAAAGACACTGTACTCAGGGCCTCCCTGGTGGCTTAATGGGTTAAGACACAACCTATGAAGCTATCCGCAACCACTGCAGCACGAGTTCCATCCCTGGCATGCCAGGGAGCAACCTACATGGTGCAGCAGACCTCTCCTGTCTCTCCTGCTGCTCCCCTCAGCAGTGTATTTCAGTTAGTCTGCCTGTTCTGTTCCCCACTCTGTCTCTGGTGAATCCTTTCACCCCCCCACACCTCTGGCCTGTACCCCAGCTCTTGTATACATAAAAAAAAAAAATCTTAATAAAGACACTGTTCTCAGCACCGAGTATCCACAAAAATAAATAAAAGCCATACCCCTCTCTTCCCCAAGGAGCTCCTAGCCCAGTAGGATATGAGACCTACAGCCCTCTTCTTTTATATCTCCCAAACCCCAGGTCATACTGACATGCCTTCCCTCTGGTCTTTAGCATTTTCTCTTTTGTATTATGTTTATTTGTTTTTATGTTATCATTTGACTATAAATTTTACTCTGAGATTCCTGGCAGCTGAGGGAAAAAGGGAAACAAGGTGTGTAATATAGTCCCTTGTCTGATACAAGAAAATGCATGAATTCTTCAAAAGAGGTAATGTTTTACCTGGTGCTAAGTTCCATAAGAAGTGATCCTTTTTTTTTTTTTTTTTTTTTTTAAGGAGTGCTATATAGTGTAAAAGGTGATGACTTTTGGTAGATGTCGAGATGTCATAGTTCTCATGTGGCCATTCTTATGGGTCCCTGTCATAGATGGGGAGGGTAGTAGGCAGGGTGGACTTACCCTGGATGGCACTGAACGCCAGATGCAATCACTCCATGTGATAGTGCCTTCAGTCATACAGCCCCCTGGAAGTAAGGCGTCATAATCAGTGTTTTAGAGCCATCAATGGGAAATTTAGGGGAGTAAGTGCATGGGTCATGATTGAATGCAGATGTAACTGCCAAGGTGTTCCTCTTTTGAATGTACCACATCATCTTGAGTGAAGCCTAACTATTCCAGACTCCCTGCTATCAGAAAATGTCAATCTGTGTGTTTTTATTTCAAACAGTACAAGAAATTGCAAGTTTCCCCCTGTCAGACACCATGATGCCTCCTCACCTCATGAAGGGCCATGGCTCTCAAGTGATCCTGCTGGTGTCAGGCTCAGAACTGGTGCTCTTCACTATCCACGGCCTCCAACTGGCAGTCTTCCAGGACCACCAGCGGCCCATCACATCCATGTGGGTGGTGAGTATGGTGCCTGCCTACCACATCGTGGCTCCCCACTTTGAAGCCCATGTTCCCGCCTCACATGGCTTTTCATTTCAAGGACCAGAGCCGCGTCATCACCTCTTCCTTTGACCTCTCCTTGAGAGTCTACATGTGGAATAAGGAAAATAAATTTCCCGTCCTCAAGAGCTGCTATCACTTGCTTGGGGGGTCCCACAGATGGTCCAGGTAATTGCTTCTCCTTTCCTTCACTTGCCTGTGGAATGACCTTACCTGGGCCTCCAGCAGCACTTTTTCAGGAAGGTCATTGTACAGGGTGGGACAGAGACAAGAGTCTTAGCCCAGTCTGCCCCTCACCATTTGGAGATATAAGGCAAGTCCTCACTCAGATTATCTGTTAAAAAAGATACTGTGTACCATTTATATTTTCTCCTCTCACATGTAAAAACCACCACCTACAGTTGGCATCATTACATCTTCCAGATGCAATCTGGGTCAGAGATGTGACCATCCCACAGGGGCACACAGGCAAGACTGGTGGACCCCAGCATGGCCCTCCCTCTGTACCCTGAACAATCACAGATCTAGTCACCAAACACAGGTGATAGAGGGGAGTCAGTGGGGGGTGAGATTATAAAAGTTTGAAAGGATGCAGTTTTGCATTATCTTTTAAAATTAGGGCTTTAGAATCACTTAGATTTTTTTCTTGGCAGGGGTAGGTGCATGGGTTATGCTCCTTCTTCATGGAAATACTTTACTCTTAAAACATTTGTCCTTTTCTCCCATTAACAGCAGTGTTCTTTCCTTCACAGTGGGTTCACCCATGTGGAGAGTGACAGCATGAGCATCGTGGGTGTGGAAGCCAGGAGCATTGGGACGAGTATCCTCAGGTCCTACTACTTTGAAGTGCAGCACGGCTGAGAATGGCATCCATCACAGAGCTTGGATATATACAGAGACGGAAGTGATTGTTTCATCAGCATTGGAAAAGGATTAGTGATTCTCAAATGCTTGCCAGCAGCCAGGCTCTGTGCTATATGACTTTATTTTTAATTCTCACAGGTCAGGTCAGAATTATCTGTTTTTTCAGACAAGGAATCAGGAACACAGTTAACCCATTAAGTTATTAGTTCATTCAGCTCATGGCAGAGGGCCAGTGGGTTGAGTCTGGGTTTATAACATGGTTGGATTTTGTTGTCTGAATATGTAATTAAGTAAATATTTTTTAATGTTCCTACTTTTTGGTGTAAAATGGGTGCTTTTCCCAGGCAGTCGTGTAGGGTGTCATGGACCGGGAAATCTGCAGGTTCTCTGGAAGATGTGCTGACAGAACCATGAACAGAGGTCATAGGGATAAAATACTGTTCTGTGATGAGTGGTGCCAGGTAGGCCCATAACTTAGCCTCGGTCTCCAGCTGACTGGGTTGAACCTTTAGCTGCAGTATAACTGTGTCAGTCTTGAAGAAGAAGCCTGTGTCTGTAAACCCCAACTCTTTGTAGGCCCCTTGCACAAGGACTGGGGTAGTGAGAAGAGTCTGCCTAACAACCATGGGTAGTCATCAACACCCCTGATCACGGAGGGTGCTTTCAGGTAGGATACAGAGGTCTGCATGCTGCCCACTTACATTCCTCACCCTCACCTATCTCTAGCACCATCTGATCTGCCAGGTTATAAGACCAAGGAAACCAGCCTATGCCACTCAGCTGTTATAGAGCAACCCCGATATTAAACAGGTTCCTGGCTGTGGGTCCTCACCCGCGCGCTTTAAAGGGACTTATGAATACTCTACTACAGACACACACAAAAGGGTTAATAAAAGGTTTATTTACAAGAGGAAAGGAAATAAGGAAAATGTACAACTCAGGGAGAAAATAGGGAAATAAAGTCTTTAATGCGTCCTACCCGATCCGACGACCTGGAAACCCAAAGTCACTCCCAGAGCTGGCCGGAGGCTCCGCGCTGGCCGAGCGCCCCAAAATGGAGAGCGCCCCAAAGCCCACGTGTCTGCCTTTTGTATCCACCTGGCTGCTTAACCCCACCCTCAGGTCCCAGCCACCTTCCCTTTGGTGGTGATGGGATTTGGAGTTCCCAGTGTCTTTGGCTTTGACCTGGGGTGGGGGTGGAGTCCACAAAGCCTGTATGGAATTAGCTTTGGGACCGCCTTTTCCCCCTAACAATTCCCCCCTTTCACTTTTTGCCACCATTTCCATGGTGATGAAGATCAAATATATGGAGGTTGGGATGAAGTCTCAGAGGAACGTTTTGTCAGGTTCCAGTGTGAAAGAAAACCAGTCTCTCCAGGTATTTGTCCATTGTGGAAAGCAAAAGTCCTCCACTCGAGGATCTGTTTGTGGTAAGGCCTCTCACACTATAGGTCCCTGACACTTGCAAGGGGGGGCCTTTTGTGTTACCCAGTGTATTAATCAGAAAAGTGTTTCCAGGTTTGGTACTTGTTTCCACCAAATTCAAATTCAAAAGGCCCACCAAATGCATGTTTGATGGCAAGACATTTGGAATCTTGCCCTTGTCCTTCACCTGAGAATGAAGCCCTTGCGTATCCTAGACCTTCCTCATGTATTTGTGATGGAGGTTGGGAATTTTACTGCAGGGGAACTTCCCTGCAGTCAGTGTGCTTCGGATCTGTACTTTTAGATCCAGGAACTTGGTGTGGGGCCTTCACTTCCCATTGGGGTAGAAGACATTTAGTTTTCCAATTCTCAGGGATTTTTTCCCCTATCTGTATAAACAAGTTAGCACTCTCCCAGCTCTTCATGTATATCACCCTGGGATTTGTAGTGTAGGTTTCTGCAGGAAAAACACGTGGTAGCCACTTCAACCCTGCTAGTCTTTATTGCTTGCTAGGTGACCTCAGCTGTTTTGAACCAAGTAAAAATTCTTAAACTACATTCTCTCTACATTCTTAAACTCCGCCTTCCCTCATCTACTTGCAAGATCCACCTCTCATAGACTCCCAGGTCCTGTTATCAGGCAGGTTTGAGAATTGTTTTGCTATGAAGGCATTTGTCACAAAGTAGGGTTTATATTCCCCTATCTAGATTGGTATCAACCTGGAAGCAATGGGTAAGCAGGCCCTCAGTCATCTTTCTAGGCAACCCCTCCTATGAGGCTAAGTGCCTCCAGTAAAAAGGGGTGAGGGGTTGGGAGGGCTATTTCTGCCATTAGGAGTGACTCAGGAAAATTCAGCGGGGGTTATCAGGATTCTCAGAATGTCTGCTCAAATATCCCAATTCAAGTCCTAGGCTCTCACTCCCTACCTGGGGCTGATTTTCACATAGGAGGCCTGCTGAGGCTGCACATTTAGTCTCCTGCATGCCCTCCCCCACCTCCCCTCTCATAGCCAGATCATGGGCCAGAGTAATAGGGGTCTGCCTATGATAGCTAAAAAAAAAGGTTCACTGGCTTTAACCTTACGTTGGAGGGTGATTGTCATTTTCTTTCTTTTTTTTTTTTTTTAAAGATTTATTTTATTTATTTATTATATAAGCACTGGGTACAGTCGGAAGCGCGGGAGGGTGAGACAATTCACCAGAGCCAGAGCGGGGAGCAGAGCAGGCAGAAGGACCGAAGTACACTGCTGAGGGGAGCAGCGGGCGGCAGGAGAGGCCTGCGCACCATGCGGGACCCTCCTCCGGTGGCTGGGGAGCAGCCGGGGATTGAACCATTGCTGCAGAGGCTGTGGGCAGCTTCGCAACCCAGTGCTCAACCGCTGCGCCACCGGGGAGGCCCCCATTTTCTTTTTTATAAAATGACATGTTTATATTTCATCTAAGACCTAGAGGGGACTCAATCTTAGCTGGGTCACTGACCAGAAGAAAGAGGACCAGAAGTTACACGAATCAAGGGACAATGTGGACATTACACCTACAACTACAGAATCTATGTGCTTTAGCATACACAGAGATTAGTCACAAAAGGAGAAATATTCTGGGAAATAAATCAATAAACTTTGAAAGATTAATATAAAATTTGTTCTCTGGCCACAATAAAAACATTTTAGAAATGACAAAAAATACAATCATACATGCTAAACATTTAATGATAAAGTGACTAAATCTTACACGACTTCCAGAAAATAGAAATAAGTGAACACTCCTCAGCATATAAGGCTAACATAAATTGTTATGAAGATCCAACAAAGACATTAAGAAAAAGTAAAATTAGACATTAAGAAAAAGTAAAAAATGTCAATTATGAACATTGATGCAAAATCCAAAATAAAACAATATATTAATATATCTTAAAATAGGCAACAATGTAGTCAAGACAGATTTCCCCTAGATAGATAAAACGTTAGAAAACTTGTCAATGTAATTCACACAAATTAAAAGACAAAATTTTTATGATCACCTCAAAAGATGCAGGAAAATTAGTTACTAAAATTAGTTATTAGTTACCATTTATGTTGATTAAAAACTTTAGCAAGTAAGGACTAAACAGTAACTGTTAAATTGAGAACTGTTTTTATAAAACAGCAACCACAAAACACCCTTACTGGTTCAACAGTGAAATATTTTCCCTGAGTAATCAGGAGCTAAACTATTCTGCTATTTTAACATTTTTATTGAAGAACTGAGCTTAAGCAGTAAGGTAAATAAAAATAAATGCATAGTGATTGGAAGGAATCAAACAAGTCTATCCTTTTTGGAAATAAGATAGTGAATGTAACAAATTCCAGATAATTTTAAAATAAACTATTAATATTGTTGATGAGATTTTTTGGGACACAAAATGAATAAATTAAAATTTTTCTGCATATCAGCAAATTTACAAAATAAAATATTTGATTAAAATGGAATAAAAACATTCTAAGTATCTAGGAAAAATAACAATTTGGGCTATAACCTTTTCAGATAAAGTTATAAATCTTTAATTAAATCTGTTAAAGGAGGTAAGTGAATAAATTATCTCATGTCCCAAAATGGGAGGATTCAATGGTGAAAATGTTAGTAACCTCAAATTGATGTTTTTTTAATTTAACCCCAACAAAATCTTAACACTTTTTCCCCCTGGAACTTTATGATTCCAAACATTTATATGGAAACACAAAGGGCTGAGAATAGTTAAGGCATAATCAAAAAGGTAAATTAAATGTGATAGCAACACAAAGAAAATCAAGAAAGTGTGGTATTGATGAAAGGATGAAATATCGAAGAGGGGAGAGGGAAATGGAGGACAGAGAGATTTCAAGGTAATTGAAAGTCCAGAGACAGACATGACACTGAAGCACAGGGAGAGAATGGCCTTTATAATAAATGGTGCTGGCGGGGAAAGGAAGGACTAGAGTCAAAATAAGGAGGGAGGTGCAACTGTATGGGGAATATAACCAAAATGAAAATGCATACATTGTGCAAAGATGAAAAAAGATGTAAGAATTATATAAAATAAAATATTTAATTAAAAAAATAAACGGTGCTGGGATAACTGAATATCCATATGGAAAAAAAAATTGGAATTCTTCTCAAATAATATTCAAGTATCAAGTCTATGATATGTACAAAGTAAACAAAATATTTTTGAGAATAAGCAAGAGAATATATAGTATTTTGACCATGGAACATTAGGACTGTTTAAATCAGTCATTAAGGAACAGATTTATAATTTCATTATATTAAAATTTAAAGGTCCTGTACCTTTAAAAAGTACCATTTTTAAAACTGAAGCAATAAAGAGCCAAATATTTGCAACATGAAAATAAAGAACTGAAATATAGAATATAAATTTATATTCTAAGTATAAAATATATTTTTTAAAATCTCTTCAATAAAAAAAGGCAAAGAATATAAAATAGGTGGTGCTTCATAAATAAAAATGGCCAAAAAATGTATGAAACTTTACTTAAAATCATTACAATCTGAGGAAGCTCATATTAAACCATGATGAGATGTTACTTCATACTCTTAGTTTAGCAAAAAGAAATTTTAAAGCTTAAGGGTTATAGTTTTAATGAGAATATGTCGTAAGAGAGGCCTCATTCTGCACTGGAGATAGTGCACATCCACCTGTCCCTTTGGAAAATAGTTTGCCATTAAAGGGTGAAATTGGAGATATATCATTAGATACCTTTATGAAGCTGTTACGCACATGAACTGTGACATGTGAACATTATAGTAGCCCTAAATTAGAAACAACCCAAATATTTGCATTCGTAGAATAACAGTCATACAACAGGGATACACTACAGCAATGCAAATAAACTAGAGCCGCAGGCAATAGCACTCATGTATCTGAATAGATGATTGAACAAAAGAAATAATACATAAAAGAGCAATTCTAGTTTGATTCCCTTTTTATACAGTAAGCAAAATAATTCTGTTGTTTAGAGATATAAACAGGCTAAAACTGTAAAACACAGCAATGATCACCATGGACTAGGAGAATTATCATTGTTAGAATATCTGTCTTACCCAAAGCAATAGATTCAATGCAATCCCTATCAAAGGTTCAATGTAATTCTTCAATGAAAGAGAGCAAACACTGAAATTTATATGGAACCACAAAAGACCCCAAATAGCCAAAGCAATCTTGATAAAAAAAGGAATGGGGGTATCGTGTTCCAAGACTTATATTAAAAGGATATAGTAATAAAACAGTATGGTATTAGCATAAAAATAGACACACCAATGGAATAGAGTTGAAAGCCCAGAAATAAACCCACATATATACGAACAAATCTATGACAAGGTGCAAAAAGTGTATAACGGAGAAAGGAAGTGTCTTCCATAATTGGTGTTGGCAAACTGGACAACCACATGCAGAAAAATGAACATGGACCACTCTACCACATCATACACAAAAATTAACTCAAAATGGATTAAACACATGGATGTAAGCACAGAACCCATACAATGCATAGAAGAAAACACAGGCCAAACACTTCACAACATTGGCTTCAGGGATGTCTGGGGACTGAGCTCCAATGACAGAAAAACAAAAGGCAAAATAAGCAAATGGAACTATCTCAAGCTAAAAAACTTCTCAGTGAAAGAAACTACAAAAAGACACCCCACTGAGTGGGAGAAAATATTTGCATAGCATATATGCACACAAAGTAAGATTTTGAAGTTCATTTGCAGTTAACCTACATAGTAAGGGAAAGCTAGGAGATGGTTTTGATTTGTTCAATTTATTTAATCAGTAGAGAGACATTATAGTCCTTTTTTTTTTTAAAGATTTATTTATTTATGCATACAAGAGCTGGGGTACAAGCCAGAGTGCGGGGAGGGAGGGCAGGGGGGTTTAAGAGGAATCACCAGTGACAGACTGGGGAACAGAACAGGCAGATTGACCAAAGTCAATGCCCTGCTGAGGGGAGCAGCAGGCGAGACAAGAGAGGTCTGCTGCTCAATGTGGGTTGCTCTCTGGCCAGCTGGGGATCGAACTCATGCTGCAGTGGCTACGGACAGCCTCATAGGTTGCATCTCAACCCTTGAGCCACCAGGGAGGCCCCATTATGGTCCTTTTGATACATATCCTGCTGGTACCAAACTCAAATTTTTACATATCCAATTGTTTTAAATAGAGCCCAAATAAACCCATTCATAGCTATTTAGAGTCTGCCAGCTTTTGTGTGCCCTATGAAACTGCATAGGGCAGTTTTGTGTGCCCTACGAAACTGCAACATCTACTAGCCTCAGACAAGACAAACCTCAGGGCTAGGAAAGACTCAAGTGCTCTCTGATCCAGTTATCAGCCTAGTTCTTTTTTCTAAAAATTTTTACATTGTAGACCTAACCCAAGGACCTCAAAATGTGACTTCATTTGGAAATAAGTCTTTAAAGAGATAATTTAGGTAAAATGTGGCGAGTAGGGTGGATCCTAATCCAACATGACTGAGTCCTTATAGGAGGAGATTAGGACACAGACATAAACATGGAGGGACAACCAAGTGAGGACACAGGGACTAGATGGCCTGCCACATGTCAAGGAGAGAGCTAGCAGAAGAAACCAGTCTTCCAAAGCCTGATCTTGACTTCTAATCTCCAGGGTTGAGAGAATAAATTTCTCTTGTTTAAGCCACCAAGTTACTTTACTACAGCTGCCTAAGCAAACCAATGTACTTCCTATCTTGCTGCTGAATAAAAATGACTATACACATATGTCATCTTTCCCCTAGGAATTCCTATGCCATTCCCCTGTCTAGGTGGTGTGGTTCCATGCCACTGTTCTACATCTGTGACTGTGAGAGACTTCCCCTCTCCTGCACCCTAACAGAACACTGCCCGAATAAAGCTCATGGTATACTACTGCTGTCTCATAGTCATGTCTTCCTTGGTCAGCCTCAAAATCCTCAAGTTATCACCTTTCCTTTCTCTATATCATCTATCTATGTATCACCTTTTTTTGGATACACACATTTCTTTTGCAGGTGTCTTGAGATTTAGTGAAGCAGTTCATATCTGAGATTCAAGAATAATGAGTCACACTGTGAGTGTTGAGAGTCCACATTTTATAGCCCCGAAGCTCTAGTTGTTGCCTATTTCCAGAAATAACAACCACAACAATTGTACATAATGAATGCCTGCAAAATGTTAGATGTTGTACAAATAGATTTCTATCACAGGGGAACATCACAACAGTCTTCTAAGTTAAGTACTACTGTTCCTATTAGTTGAAAAATCTAAGCAATTTGAGGTACACATGAAGATATACAAATGTTAACAAACTTGCCTGGTGACAAACAGCACTATTTGGCAGAAATGACATTTGCAGAGCCTAAACAAATACTAAAGAGTGCAACTTAGTCACAACTAAATCATACTTGAATAACATACATCTTTAAACAGGAGATCGGTAAATGACTAAATGGAAATACGCATCCAACCCCTAAAACCATCTTAGATACGCATTCTGATTGCTAAATCCTTCCTCTTTGCTGTAAACACATTTCAAAGTAGAATTTTAGTATCAAAGAACCTAAAGCAAAAAGGGGCCTGGTGAGTGAGCTAGTCCAGTTTTCACATTACATAGAAAACTAAGGTTTATGAATGGAAATGGACTCGCCTGGAGACCTATGTTAATAGATGAGCTAAGAAAAGAATCTGGGTTTTGAAAAGCTGAAAGCAATTCCATTAAGATCTAGAACAAGACAAGGATGTCCACTCTCACCACTGCTTTTCAATATAATACTGGAAGTCCTAGCCAGAGCAATAAGACAAGAGAAAGACATCCAAGGAATCCAAATAGGAAAAGAAGAAGTCAAACTATCACTATTTGCAGATGATATGATAATATACATAGAGAACCCCAAAAACTCCACAGAAAAACTAATTCAACTCATCAATCAGTTCAGTAAAATGGCAGGATACAAAATCAACACACAAAAGTCAGTAGCCTTCCTATACACAAACAATAAATCTGAAGAAGAAGAAATCAAAAAAACCATCCCTTTTATTATTGAAACAAAAAAAATCAAATACTTGGGAATAAATCTAACAAAACAGGTAAAGGACCTATACAAAGAATACTATAAAACACTGTTAAAATAAATAGAAGAAGACACAAAGAAATGGAAAGACATCCCCTGCTCATGGATTGGGAGAATAAACATTATTAAAATGGCCATCCTACCAAAAGCAATATACAGATTCAATGCTATTCCAATCAAAATTTCAATGTCATTCTTCAAAGAAATAGAACAATTATTGATGAAATTCATATGGAATCACAAAAAACCCCGAATAGCCAAAGCTCTCCTGAAAAAAAAAAAGAAGGGAATGGAGGCATCACACTCCCAGACTTCAAACTATACTACAAAGCCATAATCATCAAAACTGCATGGTATTGGAACAAGAACAGACATACAGACCAATGGAATCGAATAGAAAGTCCAGAAATAAACCCACAGATTTATGGTCAACTAATATTTGACAAAGGAGCAAAGACTATGCATTGGAGCAAAGAAAGTTTGTTCAATAAATGGTGCTGGGAAAACTGGGTCGCTACATGCAAAAGAATGAAGCTTGACCACTACCTCACACCATACACAAAAATCAACTCAAAATGGATTAAAGAACTAGACATAAGACCTGAAACCATAAAATACATAGAAGGAAATATAGGCGAAACACTACGTGATATTCACATCAAAGACATCTTTACAGACACATCACCCAAAGCAGTGATAGTGAAGGCAAAGATAAACAGCTGGGACTACATCAAATTAAAGAGCTTCTGCACAGCAAAAGAGAGAATAACAAAAACAAAGAGAAACCCCACTGACTGGGAGAAAATTTTTGCACACAACACTAATGATAAAGGACTGATCACAAAAATCTGCAAAGAGCTGATGAGACCCAACAACAACAAAGAAAATAATCCAGTCAAAAAATGGGCAGAAGAGCTAAAAAGAAACTTCTCTGAAGAGGAAATGCGAATGGCCAACAGGCATATGAAAAAATGCTCAACATCACTTGTAATCAGGGAAATGCAAATCAAAACTACCATGAGATACCATCTTACACCAGTTGGCGAGGGTGTGGAGAAAAAGGAACTCTTCTGCACTGTTGGTGGGAGTGCAAACTGGTCCAACCACTATGGAGAGCTGTGTGGAGATTTCTGGACCTACTAAACATATGATCCAGCAATTCCACTCCTAGATATTTACCCAAAGGACACAGAAACATCAATTCCAAAGAACACCTGCACCCCTATGTTTATAGCAGCACTATTTACAATAGCTAAGCTTTGGAAACAGCCCAAATGCCCAAAATAGATGACTGGATCAAGAAGATGTGGTACATATATACCATGGAATATTACTCAGCATTCAAAAAAGATAAACACATGCAATTTGCAGCAACATGGATGGCGCTGGAAGGGATCATGCTCAGCGAAATAAGCCAAAAAGAAAAAGAAAAATACCGGATGGTCTCACTCATAGCAAGAATCTAGAAAACTTAAATAAGGGACTAGGAAAATGAATAACTATAAGAAAGTGAAAATCAAAATCAACAAAAACTATGAACCAGAGACACTTTTTGGGGGGTGGGGGGCGGGAGGGGAGGGATTGGGGTTAGAATGGGGGGGTTGCAATTGTATGAGGAATATAAAAATAAAATTTATTATTTAAATAAATAAATAAATAAATAAATGCCTAACATACATTTAAAAAAAAAAAGAATGCTAAAAAAAAAAAAAGAATCTGGGTTTCATTACATAATGAAAATAATAATTAAAAGAAAATCAATTGTAATACTATTACCATTTTGGAGATGTCTGTGCATACATTATTCAATCCTTAAAGCAATCCTTTAATACACGTGTTTAATCTCCATCTTGAATAAAAGAAAAAAGTTTCTAAGTTCAGCATCACACCTGTTAATACATGGCAAAACCTGGATTTGAATCATGTATTTTTTAGCCTCAAGATTCTATGCTTTAAGATAAACAGCTGGGACTACATCAAATTAAAGAGCTTCTGCACAGCAAAAGAGACAATAACCAAAACAAAGAGAAACCCCACTGACTGGGAGAAAAGTTTTGCACGCAACACTAATGATAAAGGACTGATCACAAAAATCTACAAAGAGCTGATGAGACTCAACAAAAACAAAGAAAATAATCCAGTCAAAAAATGGGCAGAAGAGCAAAAAGAAACTTCTTTGATGAAGAAATGCAAATGGCCAACAGGCATATGAAAAAATGTTCAACATCACTTGTAATCAGGGAAATGCAAATCAAAACTACCATGAGATACCATCTCACACCAGTGAGAATGGCACATATTAAAAAAACTAGCAACAACAAATGTTGGCGAGGTTGTAGAGAAAAAGGAACTCTCCTGCACTGCTGGTAGCAGTGCAAACTGGTCTAACCACTATGGAGAGCTGTGTGGAGATTTCTTGAACTACTAAACATAGAGCTTCCATATGATCCAGCAATTCCACTCTTAGGTATTTACCCAAAGGACACAGAAACAGTAATTCCAAAGGGCACCTGCATCCCTATGTTTATAGCAGCACTATTTACAATAGCTAAGCTATGGAAACAGCCCAAATGCCCAAAAATAGATGACTGGATCAAGAAGATGTGGTACATATACACAATGGAATATTACTCAGCAATCAAAAAAGATAAACACATGCAGTTTGCAGCAACATGGATGGAACAGGAAGGGATCATGCTCAGCGAAATAAGTCAGAAAGAAAAAGAAAAATACTGGATGGTCTCACTCATAGCAGGAATTTAGAACCTAAATAAGACACCAGGAAAAAGACTAATCAATGCAAAGTAAAAATCAAAATCAACAAGCAACTATAAACCAGAGACACACTGCGGGGACGGGTAGGGAGGGGCAGGGAAAGGAAGGACTAGAGTCAAAATAAGGGGGGGGGTGCAATTGTATGGGGAAATATAACAAAAATGAAAATGCATACATTGTGCAAAGATGAAAAAAGATGTAAGAATTATATAAAAAATATTTAAATTAAAAAAGATTCTATGCTTTTCTTGTATAATTTTCATCCTAATTTTACCCTCAACTTTTATTTAAGCTATTAAAAAATATAGCAATAAGAACAGGATTAGGCAAATATATGTATTCCATGATCATTATCAGAAAGATCTTTACAATAGCTAAGATTTATTCTTGTCTGAAGGAAAGTCTGAGCAGAAAAAATGTGTGCACTGCATATTACCATTCAAGTCATAAAGAATGGGATCATCTGGAAAAAATGACTATTCCGTTCGTGTAGGAGGCATCTGTTGTTTGTCTTACAGACATGCTATTTGTATGTTCAGTTGTATAGTCATTTTTTTAACTTGTCCTCGTGGTTTCTTTCACTGCTTTCTTGAGTCACATACAGGTAACAGGAGACTCCCATGTATTTTGTGTTGACTCTTTCCATGAACTCCTCACCTACAGTGGTACTGGTCACCAGAAGGGCAGTCGAGGAAAATAGCCAGTTGTCTTGGAAAGCTTTGTCAAGAACTTCCTCAGGGCTGCTTTTTCTTTATCGATCTCCCTGAGCCTGTAATTTAAAGTCTGCTCTAGTTTTTTAATGTGGAGCCTGGTCCTCTTCTCTTCTCCCATGTTGTTCACAAGGACCCTCCGTATGTATATGGAGTCCCCTATTTGTAAGGTGTTCTTCATTGTATATTCCATTCCAACCATGCTCAAACCTTGGTAGCAGGTTCAAGGCCAGTCAGTAATGTTGCCTGTAAATGTCTCAGTGAAATGATTCTCCTGAAGCTTGGAATATTAGAATGAAGGTACCATGGGAACAAGGACTCACAGAATCTTAGAGCTGAGTACTGTCAGAGACCCAGGTAGCCTAAAATTTTATGTTTATTTATGAGAAGAAGTTTTTAAGTTTGTATACATTCTTAGTTTAGAAATAGAGACTAGTGTTTTGAAAGCACAGAATGGCAATCAGGATACCCACTGCCATTTTGTGCTTACATTTAGGATAAATGGTAAGTGTTTTTACGTATTTATAAGGAACAGAATGTTTATGGATAGAGGAAAAATAGTATGTTCAACAGTTCAGTTTAATTCTAGTAACTATTCTTCATTCTCTTAAAGTTGCTAAAATATTTAAGATTTCTGTGGCTCATCTAGGCATTGGACTAGATATAAAGAACTTCATGAAGTACCTACTTTTCACACAATAAAGGATAGGAAAACAGAAAAAAATACACATCTGCCTATTCATGTGCACAAAACATCACAGAAAATATAAACTAAAAATTAATAAAATGATAGGGATGGGAAGGGGTAAAGGGCAGGGGTGAGGAAATGGGAATAGGGTAGAAAGAACAGGAAGAGGGACAGTTCTTTGAGTGCATCTTATAATTATTCTTACATTAGAAATGTATTAATTTTTCAGGTGCTCAAAAATAATGTAAGTCAAAAAGGATTGCAGGTAGTATCCCACACTTTTTAATGTGTATTCTAGTATTGAGGATGAAGTAAATATATTATGGGTGATGAGAACCAAGTTCTCTCTTGGATAAAGTTGGATAAAGAAACTACAAATCCAGGAGTAAGGCTATAACATACTTTGTGGTGCTACACTGGAGTTGGAGATTCAGTATAACATTATGCTTCTGTGAATCAGTATGAATATGTGATACTATAAATTGACATTTTATAATTCTATGAATCAGAATGACACAAGCTTCTATGAATCAGTATGAATTCTTGTGAAGGATAACTCAATAGAACAGATGTCTATTGAGTCTCTAAAGATGTCTTAGAGACATGGACTTTGTGACTCTCCCCAACATAGATTGAGCCCCTTATTCCTGGCCTCAAAATTCTTTCTGAACGGGGCAGATGGCAGGTTTTATGAAGCCATCTTTGGGTTTTAGCTATAACTTTCACCTAAGCCTTGTTTTGTTTTTGTTTTTTATTCTCTTTACCTTATGAAGAGCATATGCATGTGTAATTCTCCTTATCCTCCTTAATAAAGCAGAAAACCTGAGCAACATGGAATGTTCCAGATAGATAGAAAGGTACAGTTTTCTTTTAGAAGGAGAATTTTACTAATTTTAAGCTTTGAACTAATTTTATGGCCTTTGGAAACTTTTCAAAGATTTAGCAAAATTTGTTCATAGTATCTCTAACTGTTACTGATTGCAATTACTAAGAGCCCAATCACGCCATACCCTGAGAAAGTCTGGCTCTGGTCTACACAACTTTGGGACTGAGGCCCAAAGGATCTTAGCAAACAGGCCATCCTAGAAGAGATAATCTAATTGGCAAGAAATGAACTTTTGGATAAAGAAGATTTGGACAAGTCAAGACAATGCCTTCAAATAATTCACAGGGTGCCAGGGGGAAAGACTGTGTGTACAATGACAGAAGAACCTAGGATAGCAGGCAAAAATGACAGTTTACAGCTCAGAATAATGAGGAATTTTCCCAACTTCCATGTGTCCACTAATATTTATCACTAGAGACATGCAAGAAGGATCATCATAGGAGTATTGCACAGTTGAACAATTCACATTTAATTGTAGAATATATCATCTCAAAGATCTCTTCTAGATCTGAAACCATACCGAAGATCAACATTTCCACATTTACAACAATTCAGTGAAAGTATAAACAACTAAACAGGGTTTGGCTAAAAGTTTAAATTACAGGTTGTGTTGGTTGGGGAGGGTGATGGTGAATCCAGCTACAAAGACTCCCTCTTCTATGTGATAAGGAAGAAAATGTGATAACTGGGGAGTGTTTTTTGTTGTTGCTGTTTTTTAAACAAAATGCCAACACTGGGGCAGGGGGAAAGGGTATGTTGCACAGCCAGGAACATACACATGGATTCATAAAGGCACTCCTGGGTACACACAGAAACATATAAAAAAAGACTCACAGAAGCAGATACACAAACAAAGCAGGCTGAACAAGAATAAAAAATGAATTCATGAAGCATATGAAGGGACTTACCCATACATAAATTCATGAACCAGGACACATACAAACATGCAGGAAGATGAACATACACTCTAGGGCAGGCAGGAGTATGCAGTAAAATTTCTGTAATCATGAAAATGTTCTGTATCTGTCCTGCCCAATGAGTGGCCACTGGCCAATATGGTAAAGAGCAATAAAAATGAGCCTAGTGTGACTGAGAAGACGATTTATAAAATGTTTGACTTTAATTGAATTTTTTTAAAAAAATATTTATTTATGCATACAAGAGGTGGGGTACAGGATTCACCAGGGACAGTGAGGAACAGAACAGGTAGACTGACCGAAGTACACTGCTGAGGGGAGAAGACCGCGAGTCTGCGGCACCATGTGAGTTGCTCCCTGGCCAGGGATCGAACTCATGCTGCAGAGACTGCAAATAGCCTCTGCAGGTTGTGTCTTAGGTTGTGTCTTAACCCCTTGCACCACCAGGGAGGCCCTGACTTCAACTGAATTTAAATTTAAGTAGCCACAAGTAACTAGTGGTTACTGTACTGACAACACAGGTCTAGATTTGATGGTACCCACCATATATGCATATCCTTACAAACACACCGTGTTAAAAAATGAACACACTAAACGATAACAGCACATACACACAATACTAAACACACTGACACCACACCTTCACTCTCCCGGAATCACAAGCCATCTTAAGTCAAAAACACACATACAGTGGTGTTTGGCTAAGGCTTAACCACCTGAAGCACCTCACTCTAGAGAGGTATGTCCTGTATCTTTCTACCTACACATACATACAGAAAAAAAAAAATTAACATTATAATGAACATGTGGTGCATAATTTACATAGTATTAAAAGTATAAAATATTCTTTTATATCCATTTAAATTCCATCTACACAACTGATTCTTAACTAATCCTCTTATTGATTTTGGCTGCTCTTGGATCTGCACCAAACTACGAATTCTATGAATTCCATCATGACTTGGAAACACCAGCGTATGATTAACGCTTGATGATGATGAGATTTAGCAAAGTCGCTGCCTCATTGACAAAAACAAAAAAGGGTGGGTGGATAATTTTGTTACTAAGGAGTGCAGCTGTGACGATGTATGTCAGGCCTCACTCATTCTACAAACGACGTGAGCCTGTATTTGGAGAGATCATTTCAAATTTGGAACAATTTCCCTCTGGCTTTGCATTACACAGAGAGCACACACACACACACACCACGGCCTGGTTTCACCCCGGCATCCGTTAACCCGTTGGAGCCAGCATCCTTGACTCGCCCTTGGATATGGGGTACAGTGGATTCAGATCAGGGGTACCGACACCCCAGAGTGAGCTAGAGAGAGGCACACAAATACTGGATAGAGTCTCCTACAAAGACACGGAGTGAAGAAACCTGGCACATGAACAACAGGCACAGAGCGGCACACCTGAAGAGCCAGACACTCCGCGCGCCCATTACCTCCACATTGACACAACCGACGAGGCCGCCATCTTGCCAGGCCCCGCACCCCCCCAATAAGGGCCGTTGTGGCCACGCCCCCGGTAGCGCGCATGCGCGTCTCACGCACTAAACAGCCGCAACGGACGCTGGGAGCCGTTGGGTGATGACGTTTCGGGCTCCACAGCTCCGCCCCCCGCGGGCGGGCACGTGCTTGCGGCGCGGGGCCTGCAGGGAACAGTCCCAGGTGCCCTTGCAGGGGAGGAAAGCCAGGGCGCCCCGGGGCGTCGTGGCAGCTCCGCAGGCGCCAGCGCCAGTTCCCCCCAGAACTTTCCGGCTGGCCGTACTCCTTAGAGCCAGCGCGAGTGGAAGCAGCACTCACGATTTTAATGACAAGCGTGCGCTTCACGCGCTCATGTGACACCGGGGAATGGTTTTGCAGAGCTTTACCCTGAAGCAAATTGGGGCAGATGCGTGCAAACCTTTTTGCAGTGCATTTCCTGGATTCTTGTTCATGCCTTTCAAAACGGCGTGTGCTTTTCCCGGCCAATTCTGAAGTTTCCATTAAAGAACAGTTCTGGCAGAGAATTGTAGACCTGGCAAAGAATCTAAGAGGTGCGTTGCCCTGAGTGCATTTCCAGAGCTTTTCGAAACGCAGTTAGTGCAATAGACTATCATTCTGACTGCATTTATTGAATGCTTGGACTTTTTCCATAGTTGTTGATTCATAGTTCTTTCCTATATAGGGTTTTTAATTATAAATTGAACCAAGACTTGACAGTCAGGGCCAATTTCAGTTGACGTGGCATGGAATATGGGCACAATTTCAGCCCCCAGCCCTCCTTCTTTTGCAATTTAGGGAAGAATATCATAGAATCATTTTAGGACTTGAGTTTGTGATGCTTCCAACAAACTCAACAATCGTTGCATCCTCTCTGTATCTTAGGCCAATGCAAGTTTAGTTTCATTTCTCATTCCACAGGATTGCTCTGAAGACTCCTGACATCTAACACCACCAAGAACTTCCAGGTGCCCAGACTGCAAACTCCACAAGACACAAACACGCTATCTTGCCATTCTGTGATTGGACATGGTCTTCTGAGGCATGTGATCCATGTCCAGAGAGATTTTCTCCAGCAGTCAATGCCTGCACAGAGGCTTTCTGCAGGCATGGCCAGCGATCATAATGTGAAAGACTTTTACCTGCTCCCTTCATTGGCTGCACAACCCAAATTACTTTTAGGCTAATTTAATTATCTCTCCTTCTAGGGTGTGGATTTAGATGTAATGCAAAAGAATTGCATCTGCGACCAATTTTCCCACCATGCAATTTTTAATCTCAATTACTCTGAAGGGAGTCATTCCAATCTTATATGAAAACTATTAGAACCTTGGAAATAACTGACCACCTGACATGACAAATGGAGGGTCAGACAAGGAAGCCATCCTTTCTGGAAAGCTGTGCGTAGTATTTGGACTCACTACCCTTCCATAAGAACTTATTTGTTGAAGTTACTAAGGTTTCTAAAGTTTCCCCATCATGAAACCTCTGCAGTTGATTATTCAGTTCAAAACAGTAGATTTTGGCAGTAAAGTTCACCATGATTTTCCTTGTATTGCTCTCACCTCAAGGTACTGTCTGCACAAAGTAACTGCAGAGATATTCAAAACAGACATGTACGTGAAAACACTTCCATGCTACAGAGAAAGCAGACGTCCCTATAGGAAGTCACTGTGGAGGTCAGAGCCTTCAGAGGGACAGCCAAGCACTCTGGAACTACTCAGTGCAAATAGTCACTGGAACTTGCACTTTGAGAGTTCAGGGAAAACATAGAAATCACATGGAAATTGTGCAGATTCAGGTATTACTTTCTTGCAAAACCTGGGCAAAATGGGAAGTAGTTTGGACCTTACCTCCAATTTACCACCAATTTACTTCAATTCAGCTACTGTTTAATTTTCATACAATTTGTCCTTATGATTCAAATTGTCATTTCTTCCCAAAGGATAAGAAAAACTTAAGCACAAACATAAGACTTTATCAGTGAATATTCACAGATTCGAAGAGTCCTTCTAAACCTCTCTTTCCTTCCCAACTCTGAACCATCAGTGAGAACTCTACTCCTGCTGCAGAAGGCAAAGAAGCTTGTCTGCTAAGGTTTGCTAGCAGGTCCCTGCATAGTCACCCGCATGCCCTTGTGGAATTTCCTACCAATTCCTCTCTTTTTGCTACAAAGAACATGAATGTTATTTCCTATCATTTCACACTGACAAACTGACATTAACTCCAATTATGAAAAGAAGAGCCACGCATATCTGTTTACAAGGAGCTATGAGGAGTTCATGCAGGTGAGACTGTGTGATGATGAGGCTGGATTCGAAAGAGAAATGTGCTGAGATGAAGACTGGAAATTGGGCAGCCAATGAGGATTTCCAGGCTCAGATGGTCATGAGAAGGTAAGAGGGAGGAGGGTCGTGCATTGGGACTTGGACATTGGTGGTGAGAATCCTTGTTTCTCTAGGGAGCACATCCATGGTTAGGAATCTTTAACACTTGGACAAACCAAGGCTCTAAGGTGTTAGGTCATTTGAATTTAGAGAAGGAGATTTTCTGCCTTGTTTCTACTCCTACCACAGTAAGCCCAGAACTTTGCTGCATGATGACTCCAAAAAGTCTGTAATGCCCAAAGATACAGGTTTGTGTGTGTGTCAGTCCAATTGTTACAAAACCGGTGGTTGACCCAAGATACACACTTGCATGACTTTACTCCAGTTTCTCTTTCTTACAAGGGTGAGTAATTAATTGTTTAGTTCAATATGTTATATTTTCTTGGTAGTGCTGCCAGATAAAATACTGCAACCCAGTCCAATGCAAATCTCAGATAAATAGGGAATAGCTATTGCAGGTGTAAGCAGAGTGGTTTTGTCACGGAGCAGCCCCAATATAAAACAGGTTGCCTGGCTGTGAGTCCTCACCCACGCGCTTAAAAAGGGACTTATGAATACTCCACTACAGGCACACACAAAAGGTTAATAAAAGGTTTATTTATAAGGGAAAAGGAATTGAGGAAATATACAACTCAGGGAGAAAATAGGGAAATACCCGATCCGCCGACCTGGAAACCCAAAGGCACTCTCAGAGCTGGTGGCTGCACTGCGAGCTGGCGGGGCGAGGGGGGGGGGGCCGAAAAGGGGAATCCCCCAAAGCCCACGTGTCTGGTTTTATACCAAACCTGGCTGCTTAACCCCACCCTCAGGTCCCAGCCACCTTCCCTTTGGTGGCAATGGGATTTGGAGTTCCCAGTGTCTTTTGGCTTTGGCCTGGGGTGGGGGTGGAGTCCACAAAGCCTGTATGGAATTACCTTTAGGACATCCTTTTCCCCCTAACAGTTTGGGGGACACAAAGCTATATTGCTGGATAAAGAACTGAAGTAAAGAAACGAGTAAAACCTTATGCTGGGAATGTGAAATAAACGGTGCCTCCATTTGCTAAAGGTCACCCATGCCAACTGTATTGCCACTGAATACTTTCAAAAGGAGTTCTGGTTCTGTCTTCCTGCCAGAGCCCTCCATGGAATGTTCCCCCAAGACCTCACCCCTCCCAGGCCCACCTGGTCAGGCCCCTCCCCCACTGCGGAATGTCTTGACTCCAACATTCTAACCAGGTTTAAATTCAAACTTGTCCCACTTCAACTTAGCATCTGTTGGAACCAGCTCAGTCTCTGCGTGTTGCACCTGACATAGGTCATTGTGGAGGCTGCCAGGCCGCTGTGGTCTGCACCCAAGCCCGTGGAGATGGCTTCTGGAGGTCAGTCTGTGGGTTTGGAGGAGGGGGGAGTTCAGAGGCCCAAACACCCTTCCAATTCTTGAGATGCAGATGTGACTCTGCTGCTGGGGACGTGTAGTTTGGATGGAGTAGCGGGAGCTGGAGAGTCCGTGGGCCCAGGTGGCTCAGGAGAACACCCTGGGTATGGAGAAAGGAAGGCAGCAGGCACCCTGGTGCTTTCTGAGGGGGACAAGCCACTTTGTCGCATGTTCACGGGCAGTCGTGGGACTTCTTCTGGGGCACAGAGAAGGTCAAGGGGGCAAGCTGAGCCCCGTGTTGATTACTCGGCTCCCGGGAATGGCCCACCTTATTTTCCTAAGGACTTTGAAATGTGGTGAAGTGGATCTCAAGTGGGTAATGGGGAGGTGGGGCGAAGCTCGGAAACTGTTAGTGAGTCCCTTGTGGGACCAAGGTGGCGATGAAATGTCCTCTCCAGAGCCAGGCTGAGTTCACTGCAGCTGCCAGGGCCAGGGCTGTGCTCTTTGGAGCCCAAATGCACTTCCCTTTCAGTCCTGGTGCTGTTGTCTGGGATTCAACGGGGCTAAGGCAGCCAGTTGAGTGCAACCAATAGGGCCTGACTCCCGAGTTGCTCTGGGTCGTTCTTTGTGCAAACTACTTCTGACTTCCTTCCTTTGTCCAGCCCCTGATTGTGGCCCACAGCCCTTGTTTCCCGTTGGTGGGGATATTGTCCATCACTGCTTCACGCAAAGGGACAGATGATGCCCTGGCAAGTGTGTGCAGGCTGACTTCTTTTAAGGGGGGGTGGTAAAAAGCCCAGAAAGAGACTTTTCTGTAGCTATAATATGACCTTATCAGTTAGTGACCCACAAGGGGCTGCTTCCCGCAAATAGATATGCTCAGATAAGACACTGCAGTCAGGCATGGGGTGCAGGCCAGACCAGGGATGTAGGGAGGCTGTTTCTCAGCACACGGGGGTCATGTGTTGGTGAACAGGGAGCAAGTCCCTGGGAGACTAATTCAGGCTGCACAGACCATGTACACTTGAGGACACGTGCACACTGCATGTTTTCCTGCTCAGTGGCCTTGTTCATCGCTAGTGCCTCAGGCCTGCAGGAAAAAGGTAGCATCATGTTGCCTGCCAGGGCTGCTCCTGCATCACCCTTCTCCTTTTCTCCACAGCGTCTCCAATGCTGGGACTGGATTTGACCATCAACCCTGGCCCCTCCATGCTTCCTTTCAATCCCCTGCCCCTTGCCACTCCAGGCCTCCCTCACCTGACACCTTGGGAGCCACCCCCACCCCCATTCATGACCCCAGTCTTCCCTCCGGCCAACCCTCTGGTGATGTCAGCTTTCCCCAGGCCACCTTTGGTGGTGGGAGCACCTGGCCCTGGCCCCCAGGAGGCAGGGGCTTGCAATGTTCTTCTGCAAGTCAGGTCCGAGGCGGGGCCAGTGGTGCCCCCCCAGACTCAGACCTTCGTCGTTTCATCAGCACCCGTCACCTGGAGTGCTCCAGGGGCCCTCTGTGGGGCAGCTGGCTATCCTGCTCCCCTATTCGTGGCAGCCTCTACAGCTGAGACCATTGTGCCCAGCCCAGTTGTTGTGGGCACGCAGGCTGGCAATGGAGGCTGGGCCCTAGGCCTGCCTCCTCACGCTCCACCACCCGCTGCCCAGCTGGCCCCCATCATGCTCCCAGTGAACACTGGGCCAGAGCCACAAGGGGCTTCCAGGGAGGCTGGGCCAGCTGCCACCCAGAACAATGCCTCAGCTGATGACTCCTGCAACGCCAAGAGCGTTTACGAGAACTTCCGGCGGTGGCAGCGCTTCAAGGCCCTGGCCCGGATGCACCTTCCTCAGAGTCCGGACACGGAAGCCCTCTCCTGCTTCCTCATGTGAGTCAGCACAGGCACTGCCCAGGGCTTGTGCACAGGGATCCTTGGGGCTAATCTATGAGTCAGCAGATGTCTGGCCTGAGGCCCACTCTTGAAATGATAGCAGTGGTTATGATGGAAGGTTCATCTTGAACAAAGAGCTCCCCCAGCTGATGCCCCAACTCTAGAAGAGAAGTGACGTGAGCTTCCAGTTGAGCCTGATCTGTTATGAGCAGTCACAACTGTAGCTAGGACGTGGGCTTTCCATACTGTAAGGGGCAGAAAGGGCCAGGGAGCACGCTCTCTATGACCCGGACAGACAGGGTAAAGGAGGAGTCCTGGAGCCGTTGGTGGCTTTTCAGGCTTTTTTTGGGATTTACCAGGTACACAGCAGGCAGGGAAGCTGGGGGGCTGGGAGACTGGCAGGCTTCCCAGCCCCTAGAAAGTCTTTACTCTGGGCTCTCCAGTGTTCTCTGGTGGTCTCTGCTTCTCTGCTCTACTCGTGGTTCCACTTCTGCTGGTGTCCCCGTGACACCTCTCTTAAAAGAGCAGTATGCGCCCAGGTGAATCCCCCCATGCATGCCCACACCCTACGCCAGGTGCCCGCCATCAGGCATGCATTCGGGACCACAGGGTTCCATCATCAATCCTAACGGCAGGAGGGCAGAAAAGCCTGATATCATTTACTTACCCTACACATACCCAGGCCTCACCTCTCCCACCCCATCGGCTTCATCCTGCCCACTTAGGCTGCAGAGCCATGTTAGCATGGCCTGGGGTCCCCAGTGCATCTCCTGGAGGAGTCCCAGCCCGAGGGCAGTGTCTTACCCTGCATCCAGCTGCTGGCTGCGTGCACGCCCTGGAGAAGCGGCCTCTCCTCCTGGAGCAAAGGCTTTGGGTACTTGAGCAAATCTCTTCTCCGTGGACAGGCAGCCCAGGGTAGGCCAGCTGCCCGGGCCCTGTGTTTGGCCCTGCCCCTCACACTCAGGGGCTCCGAGGCTGTTTGAACCCTGTTCCCAGCCACTGTGTGCGGTGTCTGAGGGCTCTGGCTATTATACCCGGCCGGCAGGATCAGCGGCTTTAATGACAGGGTCCGTTTTCTCTGACACTGGCAAGTGTGGGATCAGGTGCTGACAGATTTGGCCCTGGGTGGGCTCTTACTGCCTTGCAGGTGGTCACCTTTCCACCGTGTCCTCCCATGGTAGAAAGGGCGTTCTGCAGTCTTCTCTAAGCAGAGTAATGGCAAAGCGGAGCCCCCCCCTCCTCAAGACCCCTCCTCCTAGCCACCTGCCATAGCCCCGCTGTCCAGCACCCTCTCCTGGGGGCTCAGATGCCTCACATGTCACTTGGTGGGACACAGACCTCACTTCATAAGCCAAAGTAACTTAGTGACCCACAGGGCGTCCCAGAGGCCAACTACTGCAGAAGGGCCTCCTGGGGCTGGACCTGCATGTCAGGAGGAGGGAAGGGGTGAGGCAGGAAGTGGTGGGCAGGCGTGTGCCGGGGGCAGGGCTGGAGGTGCGCTGCAGACACCGACTAACCCGTTCCTTGCAGCCCTGTGCTTCGGTCGCTGTCCCGCCTGAAGCCCACCATGACGCTGGAGGAGGGCCTGTGGAGAGCCGTGCGGGAGTGGCAAGCCAAGAGCAACTTTGACAGGATGATCTACTACGAGATGGCGGCCAAGTGAGTCGGGGCGACAGGCCGAGGCTGGGTGCAGACCAGGGGCGGCTTGAGACGAGCTCCTCAGGGACAACGGAGGACGAGGCTGCGGGGCGAGGGGCCCACAGTCCCAGGGCTCTTCCTTCATCCCAAACTTCTCCCTGCCCTGTGTGCTGGGCTCCTCCTCCCACTCAGCCCCCACACTCACCCCCGACCCCGGCCCCCAAACCTTGACATGACAACTGGGGCTGTACGGTAGCCCTTTGCTTGGGGGCGCGCAGGGCCTGTTGTCCAGCCCCCAGGCCCCGTCTCCTCATCGAGTGGCCGTGATGGTCCCAGCAGAGCCTCCCCATTCCCGCTGCCCCTTGGCCCATGTGGGCTCCGCCTGGGCCCTCTCAGCATGGCTGCGCCTCCCACTCACCAGGTTCATGGAATTTGAAGCAGAGGAGGAGATGCAGATGCAGAACTTACAGAGCACGATGGGGGTGCGGTACCTGCCAACTCCTGCCCCACCCCAGCCTGAGAGTCGGGGCCCCCCACCCCCACCGCTGGCTCAGCAGCCAGGTATGGCACCCCTGTTCCCTCAGGAGCTGATGGCCAGAGGCCATGGCTGAGGAAAGCCCTGTCCCATGGGGGTCCCTTCAGTGCCAGGTGGTGGTTGCGGGGCGCGCTGGCTCTTTCACCCAGAGCCGTCCCTGGACATCAGGCTCAGCTGCCCTTTGTGCCAGGGCCCTTCCCCTGCTTCAGGACTCTCCCCCTTCCGCCCCAAGGCCCATCACAAATTCACCCAGGAAGAGGGCCGTGAGGAGCCCCTGGAAGCTGTGGCCTCACATCCTCCCACCGACCCTCCGGGATGCTCTCCTCCCCTTTCTCCCCCTGTGGCGTGTGGGCTTCGGTGTCCTGACCCAGCAGTAGCTGTGCGGGCTACTGTTGCCCCGCCCTGTGCCCTGGCCATGCATTGGGATGGGGATGAGGCCCTCATGCTTCCTTCCTTCTTGCTTCCTGCCTCAGCCTGTGGCCCCAGGAAGGCCGGTGCCAGGGCCCAGGCCGCCCGCCAGCGGCCACACCGCCCCCTGCGGCCCCGTGAGGCCAAGGCACCCAAGGAGATCCCCCCTGAGGCCGTGAACGAGTATGTGGACATCATGGACGCTCTGCTGGGGCTCCTCTCGGGGGAACCCCTGGGAGAATGCATTGAGGCGGAGAAGGAGCAGCAGGAAGACGAGGAGGGAAACTACCCTGACCCGGGGCTCCTGAGCTACATTGACAAGCTGTGCTCCGACCAACACTTTGTCACCAAGGTGGGCTGCCCCAGAGCTCTGGGTCCTGGAAGCTTCCAGGGTTCTGCCAGGACCAGATGTGGGTTCTCCCCAGGCCTTTGGAATTAAGTTCTCTTCCTCGGTCCTCACCTGCCTGTCTGTGTCAGTGTGCAGAGGTGTACATATTCACTGTGGGTATGTGTCACCCTGCGTGTGTGTGTGCACGTGATTCCATCTTCCTTGTGTGTGCTTACGTGTGCATTGTGAGTGTGGGCTGTGTGTGTGTGTGCATATGTGTGTGCATGGGTGTTTCTCTATGTGCAAATGGGTGCACGCGTGTCCCCGTGTGTTGATGTGCAGACATGTGTACCTACGTGTGTACTCCTTCTTGACCCAGGAATTGGTGTGTGTGTCCATGTGCATGTGAATGCATGCATGTGTGCACTCACATGCTCACTTGTGTCTACCTGTGTCCATCCATGTGCCCAGTTGTGTGTCTGGTGTGTGTGTGCCTGTGTTTGTACGTGTGTGTACCTGCAGCCATGATGGTCTGAAGCATCCTGCCTTGTGCACGAGGGTGGAAGGGTCTCTCCTCTCCACTCTTGCAGCTCAGTTTTGCTCACAGGTGCCCCTGAAGCACGCTCAGCCCCTCTTCCTTCTGTCCCAGGTGGAGGCGGTCATTCACCCCCGCTTCCTGCAAGAGCTGCTTTCCCCAGAGCCAGAGCTGGATCTGTCAGCCCTCGCTGCGGAGCTGGAGCAGGAGGAAGGACTGACCCTGGCACAGGTGAGCAGGGGGCAAGGCACTCTAGGGGAGCCAGGGGACCAGGCACCCTCTGCATCCAGGAAGGGGAGATCTCCAGAACAGGAACCCTGTGTTGCTCTGTGCATCCCTTCTCTGCCTGAGAGGCATGATAGTGGCTTGCCCATTTTGGGGGTACAGTTTGGACTGAGAAGGAGCCTGTGGGGAATTGGAGTTGGGGGAGGACACATAGCTGGGGAGAAGGTGCAGAGCATGACATTGCTGCCATCTCTGAGATGAGTCAGTGGGTCACCCCCAGTTCCTCTCAAGTGCCATGCACCCACGCCCTGGGCCTGTCCTGTCCTGCTCTGCAGACCCAGTCACTGTGCCCTCTCTCTCCCAGCTGGTCGAGAAGCGGCTCTTGGCTCTGAAGGAGGAAGGGGCCGTGCTGGACGTCCCAAGCCACTGTGCGCCCAAAGTGGACTCAAAGTCCCCCAAGTCTGACGGACCTGGCTCCCAGCCAAGGGCCAGTGGTGACGGGTGCCCCGGGAACCCTGACTGTAAGGCCCCTCCAAGAGCCAGCCAAGTGGACACTGGCCTGTCCAGGCCTCGCACCGCTGCCTTCTCCTCGGGACAGCAAGAGCCCCCTCCAGTTCAGGCTGGACACCCCGCCTGTCCCCCACAGATTCAGAAATGTGCTTCCTCTAGATTGGGCAGTGGAGACTCCTGCGTCCTGGGGCAGACCTCTGCAGTCAGGGGGATTCATGTGCCAGCGGATGGGTCCAGTGAGGAGGATGAGGAGGAGCTCCCCAGTCTGGCCTTCCTCCTGGCCTCTCAGCACAGCCTGCTGCCCTGGGGGCTCCCCCAGAGTCCTGGCCCTGCCTCCACTACTGGCTCTGGCGGTCAGCAGGCAAGCCAGTTCCCCTGTCCTCAGAGGCGGGGCCTCAATCCAGCTGGGCCTCGTGGGGCCAAGTCTAGGAAGCGCCCTCTGTGTGTGGGCCCAGCTCCTGCCAACAAGAGCCCCCTCCCAGGGGCTGACCCGGGGGTGTCTGGGAGGCCAGCCTCGCCACTGGAGCTGCTTGGCCCCTCAATTCCTTGGAAGAGAAGGTGTGCTCCTCTTTTCACAGGGCACAGGAGGAAGCGCCATTGCAGCCAGTAGGGAGCAGCAGGAGGCCCCTTCATGTTTCCCCCCAGGGGTGGGGGCTCTGACTTTGTCCTTGCTCTCCCCAGTGGAGGATCCTCGGGGACTCCTCCTCATCTCAGTTATTAACTAGCTGTCCTTGGACCGGAAGGGTGGGATGGGGAGGGATGGGGCGGGGTCTGGGGGTGGGGGGTTGGTGTGTCTGGGACAGCAAGGGAGGGAGGGCAGGGCCTGGGGGGAGGGTATGGATGTGGGTGGGTGGGAGGTATGAGAAGCACCTTTGGGGCATTGGATGTAAATTGTAAATAAAGAGTTTGTTGGAATATGCTCTTGGTCTGCTGTTCTTACTCTTGCTTCTTGGAGAAGGACCCGAGATGAGCAGGAGGAGGGGGTCTCAGGGTGACTGACCAGATACCTTTCCATGTCACATACTTAGACTGCTCCTGGGAGTTCTCTGCTCACCAAACCCCCAGGAACTCCTCTCATCAGTCTCTACCACGTGGTCCCCTTGTTAGGAGTCTTCTGGGCAGGTATTCATCCTCTGTGCCCCAAAGTATCTGGGTTGGAAAGTTGATTTTGTATTTGTGCCTCTGGACCTGTAACCAGTTTTATAGAATGTTGCCTGAGATAGGCCTGCTGATCAGTGACTTTCTTCTACCTGTCAGTAGTGACCAGACAATGGGGTTCACTCATCCTCCTTGCCTATGGATAGAGTGACTAGATGGAAAAAGCTGCACTGAGGCATATACCTTCCTGTTGACATAGTTGTGGGAGGAGCATGTCCTAGTCTCTGTAGGATTATTGAAATGTGGACAGAAGGGGAGCAGCTACCTCTTAATCTCAGTGAGGGCCGAACCAGGAAAATGGGCTCAGAGCTGATGATGGGGCACTGAATAGACATGTGCACAGGAGATGGTGTGGCTTGAGGACGTCAAGCCCCTGAGTAGGATCTCTGTGCAGCAACCTCTTGTTCAACTGAAGAAAGACCCATTGTGCTGTGGCCAGGGTACTGGCTTCAAGAGCAAGACTGTCCCCTGTCCTCCCTGCCATGGCTGGGCTCTTGGTAAACACATGTTGATACAGATCATCATTCACAGTGAAACAGATCCTGCTAAGAAACTATGACCATCCTGCATAGCACAGTAGGAGTAGCAGAGATAGGTTGTGGCCCCAGGGATGGGGGGAGCTAGATTGAGCACCCTGAGGCTTCTGTTGTCCTCCTGGGGTGCAGACACAGACCCATATCAGAGAGGGGCCCTAACCCAGGTCAGGAGTTAAGCTGGCAGGAGACCCCTGCTGTTTCAGCACTGCCCTGAGCCCCCCTCCCTGTACCCAATTCCCCTCATAGGACATGCACCCACCTCTCCTGCCTCTTCCTTGAAGCTTCCATCCCCAACAGCAATGTTCAAATTTGTGGGGACATGCTATTATATGCAGGGTACACAGCTGAAAGGGAACTGCTAAGATAAGGAGATCTTTCCCTGTTAAAGAGTCATAGACCTGGAAATGTAAAGCAAATAACATGTTTGCTTCCTTAATAAGCATATCTAAACAAGGTCTGGGAGCCTGCTAGGCTGATTGATCTCCATTCCCCTTTTCCTGTGTCAAGGGTTTGTATACTAACTAACCAACTTTATCAATGTAAGGTGGTTGTGTATAAAAGAAACTTTGTCTCTAGACCATTGCTCAGACCTTATGGGACTACCCAGGTCTGAGACCTCGTGCATGAGTAATAAAGCTTCTCCTGACCTCACCCTTCCTGAAGTACCACTTGTTCTTCCCCTGCCTGGGTAAAAGGCTAGAATTTATTTCTGCAACACAGCCACCTGCCAAATGATATGTGCTGTTTTGAGTCACAATAATTCTCAGAAATTTGTCACCCACGCTTTCAGAGTCAAAAAACTCATTATGGTTAGAGTCAATTATTTTCCTCTCTGTGGTATTTGTAGGGATGCTTTCGTGGAAATATTTCACTAGGAAAGGTCCTTTTGAATAGCAGCACCCAGAGAAAGGAGGCTAAAAACTAGGTCTGGCCATAACATGGAATCAGAATATTTTCACCTTCATTTTATAAAATAATTTCAGTGGGTCCTTTGTATGTTATGATGCGTTATTTCCTGTAAGTAACTGCTTGGTTGATTTCCAATAATATAATTTTGGGCTAAAAGCGTTTGGTGTAAGCTGAGACCTGAGAGTCTTGTGATCAAAGTCAGATATAAAAACCCAGCTAGAGAATCCATTTTGTTCTTGGTGCTCACTTGCCGGAGTTGTCCATTCCCATCCTGATCTATGGTCATTTGTTTCTGATCCTGGTCAAGTGCCTGAGCCTGGTTCCAGCCCAGGTGGCAATGGTGCTTCAACTTTATGTCAGTTATCTTCTGGGAGGTCCAGTTCAGAACAAGGGTGCTTTTTTTTAAAATAGGAAATGTTAACAAATGACAAGAACCTGCTCTGGTTCTTTCTAGTGGGGTTGGAGGGAGTCCTTGACCTAGTGGTGTTTTCAAAACACAGCGTTTCCTGGTTGGTGGTCATGACGTTTGATGCCTTCATTTCTGGGAGCGTATGGTGGAAGGAATCTCTTACCTATTTGGCATTATTAATGAGAGTTTTAATAAATTCCTGTTAGTAAGAGGTGATACTACCTTTGAGAGGACTGGTTTCTAGGTCCCTTCAATTAAATGCCTAGACTTTCTATTAATTATTTCAAAAGGAAACAATGGGTGTTTGTTAAAATACAAAGATCTGGTTTTATTATCATCCCAATATTTCTTTAACTGGAATTATGCCAACACAATTATTGTAAACCTTTATCATTCAAACAGTAAACCATCCCACGTGAATAATATTCATATGTTACAGCTAATTTTAGAACTAAATTAAGGATTTCAAGCACACTACTTAAAACACAAATCTCACTTTTTCAAGTCTTCATTTAACTAATTTTCTTCATCTTTAAATTTAAAAAATGCATGTGCATCTACATCATTAAAAGTATGTATGAATGTATGTATATCAACTTATCACCTTAGATTCCTGAAAAGGACTGAAATGTTCTCTAAGATCTAAAGATTATTGCCCACTACAGAGTCACATTTTTTTTAGCATTTATTTATTTATGCATACAAGAACTGGTGTAGGCCAGAGGTGTGGGGGGTGAGAGGATTCACCAGAGACAGAGTAGGGAGCAGAACAGGCGCATCTACTGAAATACACTGCTGAGGGGAGCAGTGGGTGAGACAGGAGAGGTCTGCTGCACCATGTGGGTCAGCTCCCTGGCCTGGGATCTAACTCATGCTGGCAATACTTTGATAGTGCTGTTTCTTTAACCCTTGCATCACCCAGGAGGCCCCAGAGTCACATTTGACACCATTATGACTTCCTTCTCTTGCACTTTGTTAGCACTTTGTTTCCTTAGAGTAAAAAAAAAAAAATTAATTTTAAACAATGTTTCAAATAAAAAGTTATTAAAAACATTATACAGGACATTTAAATTGGGGAATTTCATAGAATTTCCCTACCATATTAATTCCTATTCAAATATAACATCAAGAAGGCTTAGTATTTACTTTTCATCAGACCATGTTTTCTATTTAATTTAATACATCAAATAAACCCAATTTATTTAATATTTATCTTTTCAGAAGTAGCAAGAACAATTCTCTTGAGATCATTACAGGGGACCTTCTGGAAAAATCTTAAAGTTTGTTTTAAGTCAAAAAGATAATATTATTATTAACTTGATTTTGGGAAGTTTGTCGAATATTTCAAAATATTTTAAATGCTTACATAGGTTAATATAAATAATACTTAATTTTTCATTTAATGAAAGCGACAAAAAATTCAAAAGTATATATAAAAATTCCATGACTACAAACAAAACCTATTTCCAGAGCAAGAAGATTGGCTAACTTAAGCATTTAAGGATCTGATAAAAATGACATGAAATGAAGTTTAATCACACACAAATCCTTGCTTTAAGGTAGCCTACTTAAACAATTCACAATGTTTTCAAAAGCAGAGCACAGTTCATGAATACTTTTGTCTTTTTTGCAGAGGAAAAATAAGTAAAGTTTGGTTTTATGTGAGTATAGGATTGATATCAAAGTTTAATTACAAATCCTATAACAATTCATGTGATTTTACTTAGCTTAACCCCATATAAAGTTCCTTTCTTAAGTTTCCTTCCCCATAAGCCACTGCTGCTTTCCCAGACATTTATGACTTGCTATATTCATTTAGTTTTTTGCCCTATAGTTCATTCACTTTGGAAAAAAAATGACTGTTGTCTTTTCCTTTATCAAGAGAAAGCCCATGTCCTTTATCCTGTCTTATACAGAAATAGTCTCCGGCTCTCCTTGACTGCTTTCCATTTACATTCATTTGCTTTCATTCTTTAGAATCCTTAATTTCTAATGAAAGCTTGAAAGTCAAGGGAGATTCTCTAGTAATTTATATATTTTGACAGACTCTGTCTTAATTTTTTTCTCTCTTCCTTCCATTTCTTGGGCAGTGTCTTGGTTGTCCCCCGGGTGGCTACATGCGGGAGACTGAATGGTGCTGCAACTTCCAGAAACAGAGGAAAAGTGCATGCTTTCCTAGGAGTATCAGGATATATTTTTCTATTATCATAAATCTAGGATAACTGGTATTAAAATGTTTCTCTTTCCCAGGGATTTTTACCTCTCAGCCTCTTAATCAAACTTTTGTTTTAAGTGCTTGGACCTTAATTTATAGCTTGTATTTTCTCAACTTTGCAGAATGGTATGTAAGGTCTCCAATCTTTTAACTCTTGTTTCAGCTAAAACTCAAGCTTAATCTCTAAATGGGCACCCACCATCACTTGAATTGCCCACAGTAGAGGCCAGTCCACTAAGACAGTCATTTTCCCTCCCTGCCATAGGGAAACTGAGAGACTGTATCTTGGATAGCTGCAAGATGAGTAGTTTTGCATATCATTCCCACCAAATCGTAAAGCTTTATAGAGGCTTTGCTATATTCAGGCCTGTATGCTCTCCAGAAAGTCAAAACAACATATTATATACTTTCTCCAAGGTTGTATCCTTAAATTAACTTCTGAGAATACACATTTTAGGGGAGGGGAACGAGAAGCCTTAGATTGTCTGAGTTCAGCTTGTAGGTCAAATAGGCAGTCAACTTCCTTTGATTGCTTTTCCCGGCACAAGCTGGATTGAACATTTTTTCCTTATTTAATGAATCTTTTTAATGGTTCATTAAACCATTAAATAATTCTCCCATGAATTATCGTTTCATACTCCTTCCCATTTTTCTATGCATAATCTACATTTCCCCCCTAATTAATTCGCAGAAACATTTGATTGCCTTTTGGTCTCACTGTGCTCAGGCCGAGTCTGGCAGGGCATGGTTGAGGTCAGGAGCAGGTGGAGGAGAAGTCAAGGCTGGGGTCGGGGTACGGTTAGACTGGGGTCAGATATGGGGTCAGCGTGGCCTTGGAGGGGGGGTAGGATGGTGGGAGGGTGAGGGTTGTTAGTCCAGGGTTGGGGTCAAGGTGGGGTAGTGTGAGGTCCAGATTCCGTGTCAGAGACGAGTAAGGCAAGGTAGACGCTAGGGCCTGGGAGGGGTCTGAGGTTAGGTTGGGATGGGTCGCGGCACCGATTCTGGGAGGAGTCAGGGGCGGGGCCGGCCTCGGGAGGGGGGTCGAGGTCGGGCGGGGCCAGGCTTGTTTCAGCGACCCTGACAATGGGCACCAAGGCGCAGACCCACCTAGACTGCGGCCTAGGCGAAATGGGGTTCTTGCTCTGGCTGCTGCTTCCCGTAATGCTACCTGGGCCCCGGAGTGTGGAGACCTTGACCGCCGCTGTGGGCGTGGACCGTGGAACAACCGAATTGCCAACCGTGGCCAGGGCTGCCGGTGCGCAGCGGTTGGTCCCAGGAGCCACAGGACCCAGCCGGATCGTAGGGTGGGATGGGTCGGGGCTGTTACCTGAGGTCCCAGAAACTGACTTCCATTTTCTCTCTGCCCTCCTTTCCCAACCGGGCAGTCAGAGACCAACTCAACAGAGGTGAGTCTCAGGCCCCCAGTCTGGGGTGGCTTGTGGGTGGTGGGGCACTGCCCCAGGACTTGGCTGGGGGCCTAGGTGGAGGAGAGCAGGCTGCATGAGGGCCCTGAGTGGGGCCCAGAGGATACATCCCCCTTCCTGAGCTGGGAAGCACAGACCAGACCAGGATGCTCCCCTCTCAGGTTGTCTGGACCCAACTGCCCTCCCAGGTGTGACCCTACAGCGGGCTGTCTTTATTAGCCACCCCCACTCTTTTAGAAGTGGAGTCCCCTGAGTCTGAGAGGGGAGTGGCTCTCCCCAGGTCACACAGCACCACAAACCCCCTCCTGAGACACCAGGGTGCGGTGCAGGGCACAGCTACTTCGAAGCCATGGTCTAGAGCATAAGCATGGTGCCCCTGAGGCCCACAGAGTAGGAGAAGAGGTGTGCAGTTTCTGGGTTCAGGTCTGCATCTGTGAGGGGCCCTGCCCTTGGCAGGCTCCCCAGGAGTGGGTTTCCCTGAGGATGCCGCTGTGGTGGCTGTGCCACAGACCCCTGGGCCTCATCCTTGCAGGGCTTCTCCTGGGCTCTGCCACCAGTCTCCTGCGGCAGCCAACGCATGCAGTCTGGCATCTCTGTCACTTGTTGAGGTCACTTGAGCCTTGACATTCCCATTGGTGAAGTGAAGGGCTTTCCCGGAAATGGCATTTGGGGGTATCACTGGTGTCTATCGCAGGTGGAACCAGGGGTGTCTCTGAAGTGTGTGGGAGGCCCAACGTGATGGGGAAGATCTACGGAGGCCAGGACGTGGTAGCTGGCCAGTGGCCGTGGCAGGCCAGTGTGCTGTACCAGGGCTCGCATCTCTGTGGAGCAGTCCTCATCGAGTCCCGCTGGCTGCTTTCCACAGCTCACTGCTTTGTCAAGTGAGTCCTTCCTGAGTTCCCTGCAGAGGGGCTGGTAGGGGAGAAGGGGGAGGGGAGAAGAAAAAAAGGGTGAAGGGTATCCCACACCACTCCTTGAGGCTTTGCTCTGGGGCAGTTCTTCAGCTTCCAAGTGCATGTCATTCTGCCTTTGACTTGTGTCCTCCCCACCTGGATCGTCCTCCCTGCTCACGTGCTCAGATCCTCCTCATCCTCCACCCTCACTCCTGTTGTCCCCTAACACAGACCTGAGAGATTGACAGTGTCCATCTTGGCCACTAAGTGATATAGACCGACTCTTTGCTCCTACCTCAGACCAAAGGTGGGCAAAGGTCCTCACTGTTCCAGCATTGCTGGGTGTCAGACTCTGGACAGGGGCCTGGAACTGCTCCCACAGCCAGCTACCGGTGATGCTTCTCATCACTTCTGCAAAACTATACCCCAGGGAGGACCTGGTACCTGAGTGCTAAGGTACATGGAGAGTGGTGTGGGTCTCCTTGACCTGGGAGAGCCTAACTTCTCTGATGCCCCTGGGCCTGGCCCAGTGCCAAGTTCCTGAACAGACAAGGAGAGGTCCTCAGGGAACAAGGGAACTGGAGCTTGGGTGCTGACTGACTCAGAGTCAGAACCCCGTCAGGGACTCCGTGCTGCACTCCACGTACACATCTGTGGCATCAGGAGTGGTGATGCCCCAGCCTGCTGAGTCACAGCCTGTCAGGAGACAAGGCCCACAGTGAGAGAGAAGGATGAATCTTGAGGGAGGGAGAGGCCGAGGGTCTGTGCACCAGTTGGCCTGGCACAGCAGCGGGGGGCTTGCGGAAGGGAAGGGTTAGCACCTGGGGAGTTTGGGGAGGGTTGTACAGGTGGATGAGCCATGAGTACAATGCCAGAAACGTGGGATGTTTCATCCCTCATGTTTAGGTAACAGGACAACCTGCATCCATTCATTCATTCAAATCTTTTATGGATGCTTATAGGCAAGTGGGTGCTTATAAGCCATCGTGATTGGAAGGCATGGAAAGAAAAGGGGGTGGGAAAGGTGGTTTGAACCAGAGGGTGGACCATGGGGAGCCCTGGGAAGGGCCAGGCTTGAGCTGGGTGGAGCCAGTGCTCCTGTGTGCACAGTCAGAAGGCCAGGATTCATAGGCTCTTGCAGCCCTTGAATCCCCACTCCTTCAACTCTGGGGTGTGATGGGGAAGCCAAATGTGCTGACATGAGTAGAACAGCATCTAGCCTCAAGAAAGAAGGGTTATAAAGGGGGAAACTGGGTGGGGTGAAGGGCTCCAGAGCGGTGTGCGTGGTCAGGTGAGGATGTGGGGCAGGGGGAGCGCAGGTCTCACTCAGCCAAAGGCCATAGCTGCCCTTCTTCCTCCAGCAAGTCCCAGGCACTGAAGGACTACTGGGTGGTGCTGGGCAGCACAAAGCTCTTCCAGCCAACCGAGCACACGCAGAAGATGGCCGTGAGTGGCATTATCATCCACCCAGACTTTGAGAAGCATCACGCTTTTGGGAGTGACATAGCCATGTTGCAACTGTATCTGCCCGTGAACTTCACTTCTTATGTGGTCCCTGCCTGCCTCCCAGCCCCCGGCATGCCGCTGCCCAGTAATGTGTCCTGTTGGATCACTGGTTGGGGGATGCTCACCGAGAACAGTGAGTGACTGGGAGAGGCTGGCGGTGAAGTTGGTCATGGAGGAAGGGGGAGGGAAAAGGGAGATCCCTGGGCCTTGGCACCCTGAGTCTCACTTCCAGAGACCTGGACCATTCTGGGTCAAAGTCTCTGAAATGTGTGATTCTGATGCTTCAGGGTTCCCTGCATCCAAGATTCTGAAAATCTGGGAAGCTCTGACTTTGGGCATCAAGAATCTAGGTACTTAGAGACTGCTTGATTCTTGATTCCAAGGTGTGAATCAGCCAGGGATCTGAGATAACTCGATTTAATAGAACAGTCATGCTTGGGACCTGGCCTTTCCCACACCACTGCCAAACTCCCTGGTTTCCCACCGCCAAGGAAGGGGCCTAGACAAAGTGGAAAAAAAGTACTTTATGGCTTCTGTCTCTGAGCCTACAGGATCCAGTTAGAGTAATGATGACTTGAGAGCCTCTTAACTCCGTAAACTCGCTTTGTTTCCTCCTGCAGGTCTCCTGTCTGTTCAGCTTGTTAGGTGAACTTAACAATACAGGGAAAACAGAGGAACAAAATTTGTGTTTTTTTGAGATTGTAAGAGAAGAAATATAGCCAAGACTCTGAAAGACAGTGTTTATTAGAGAAAGGAGTGCTTTTAGTTTGGGGAAGTGCTTATGGCATAGTGTTAAGGAAAAGGGAACATGTCATTATTTGTAGGATCGTAACTTGGTGTGGTGTTTCTCAACAGAGCTGCAACAGGCATTTTGGGCAGATCACTTTTTTCAGCCCTGCATGGCATTAGCCCCCGTCCCTCAGCTTCTGCCGCATCTGCCCACTTCCCATACACACCTTCCAAGCCACAAGCCCCCTTCCTGCCTTGAACGTGCCACGGCAGCCTTACCTCAAGGCCTTTGTGACTTTGCTGCCTTATCTTCCTGGGTCTCTCCCCAGCTAATCTCTGCACGACTCATTTCTTCTTTACTTTTATAACTTACTCATTCTCTGAGAAGTTTTACTTAATCATGTGAGCAAAGATAGGCACTCCCTGCTATCACATATCCTGGACTCATTTCCTTCGGACCACTTACTAGATCAAAATAATTATATTTCTTTAGTTACCTTGTCTCCTCAAACTAAAAATATTGCCCTTTATCAGTGTCTTAAAGAGCGTAGCAGAGGACGGATGAGTGATTGGCTGAGAACATGGATGGGGAGGGCAGCTCAAGGCTGAATGGGTGGGTGGAAGGGGAAGTGAGGAGCAGGGTGGTGGGAGGTGGGCATATTGCAGGGTGGCTGGATGTATTGACTGGCAGAGAGGAGGATAGGTAGGTGAATGATGCAGGGGTGGGTGGAGACATGGCTAAAAGTTGGGTGGGTGGGTGGTTGGATGATGGATGGAAGGGCACATGGGTGGCACACTGGGAGACAGGGGTGGATGGATGGAGGAATGGGTGCATGGAAGAACAGGTAAAGGCCAATGGCAGCTGGATGGCGAGTGGACAGGATGGTTCATGAAAGGATAGAGAAGCATGTAGTAAGCCCCAGTGAATGGTATGTATGGTGGGATTTGCCTTTTATCTTTGTAGAGTAGGAGAGGTGTGGTCTATTGCTATGGGAGAGGTGGAAGGAATAGGGTGAGCTCGGGGAAGTTTGAGGAAAAGGAGAGAAGCATCTTAGGGGTGGGTAGAACACCAAAGCAGCGCTGAGAGCTCTGCTGTGCTAACAAAAGCCTGTGCTGGGGACAGTGGTGAGTATGGGGCAGAGTGGGAAGCTGGGTGGCCTGGGGCTCCTGGCCAGCCTGTGCTGTCACTGGTCTCCCTTATCCCCACAGCACCCATGTCCCTGCCCTTCCATCTCCAGGAGGGTAAGGTGAACCTCATGGAGAATAAGTTGTGTAATATGCTATATGGTCAAAGAGTTAACAAAGACAACGACCTTGTGTATGACGAAATGCTGTGTGCCGGGGACTTCTCGACAGGGAAAGCCATCTGCCAAGTAAGTGAGGCCATTTCTGTTCTTTCCTGGCCCGTTTTGGGGCCTCAGTTTCTGTGGGAGAGGCCATATTATCTCTACTGTCTCTGTGGAGGCCCCTGGATCATCACTCTGCAGGGTTCCAGGGGCTCCATCCCAGGGCTCTAACAGACACTGCTCTACTGTGCTCCCCTTCTGGTGGCCTTTTCACCTTCTCCTCATTCTCAGTGCAGGCTTCTGAGACCCCCCTCATGGGATTATTGAAAGGAGGGTAGAGTAGGTTGAACTGTGTCCCCTGAATTCATGTCCATTGGGAACCTCAGAATGTGACCTTATTTGGAAATAGGGTCCTTGCAGATGTACTTAGTGAAAGATTAAAGATGAGAGTCAGCTGGATTTATGGTGGGCCCTAAATCCAACAGCTGGTGTTCTTATCGGAGGGAAAGACATAGAGATACTTGATCTCAGACTTCTGGCCTCTAGACCAAGAGGGAATCTATTTCCATTGTTTTTCTTTTCTTTGAAGATTTATTTTATTTATACAAGAGCTGGAGTACAGGCCAGAGGCAAGGGGGTGAGAGGATTCACCAGAGACAGAGTGGGGAACAGAACAGGCAGACTGACTGAAATACACTGCTGAGGGGAGCAGCGGGCGAGTCAGGAGGGGTCTGCTGCGCCATGTGGGTAGCTCCCTGGCCGGATAGGAATTGAACCCACGCCGCAGAGGCTGCAGACATCTTCACAGTGCTGCGCTTAACCCGCTGCACCACCGGGGAGGCCCCATTTCTGTTGTTTTCCCAAGCCCCCCAGTTTGTGCAGACACATATGACAGCCTCAGGAAACACACACAGGAGGATGAGATGCCCTTGGCCCATGGGAGGGCTCATGATGGTTCACTCCTCCCCGAGAGTGGCTGGCCAGAGGGAGGAAGCTGTCCCACTGCTTTCCTGGGAGCAAGGAGACCAGGTTTCCTGGTCCCCATCAGTAGCCAGTGGTGTGTGCTTTCTGACTGTCCTGTCCATCCTGCTCACAGTCAGCAGCTCCCAGATGAAGAGCAAAGGGCTCAGCTCCCGAGTCCCCACCCAATGTCTCCTCCACCCCCCTTCCAGCCTAGTCCTCAGTGCCTTGCCCTGCCGAGGCCATGGCTGTGGAGCTCAGGGCTTGCCCTTTGCCTGCCTGCCAGCCTGCTGACATCACAGCGCCCCCGGATGGCACTCCTCCTCCAGCTTGTCCCCAGGCTCAGGACACCCCTGAGCTGGCCCTTGAGAGTCCCAGCACACCCCTCCATCCTCTTTAACCTCTCAGTCACCACAGCTTGTCTATGAGATGCCACGTGCCTGCTCTGGCCCCACACTCCACACAGTGCTCTCTTCTCACCCAGAAGCGCCTTTCCCTGAGAGGGGCACCCAGACACCACTGTGAGGGGAGATGGACCCCAGAGGAAGTCAGCTCAGAATGTGGGACATGATAGACCCAGCTCCTTATTTGTTGGTTCTGTGACTTTACCTCAGCTTCCTCACTGAGCAAATGGGATTGAAAATGGTCTCCTCTTCATAATGTTGCTGTGGGAAATGAGCATGTGCCTGGCATTTAGTAGGTGCTTAAAGTGTGTTGGCTTCTTCCCCTGACCAGGTTTGGCTGCTGCTATCTAATATGGGCCTGTCTTAGACCCATCCTCTCACCCAGGGTGGAACTCATTGTCCTGACCCCTCCCCCCACACACACAAACACACAATTTGTTCTCACTCTATATTAGTGCAAACTGCAGCTAACTTGTCATGAGCTATGTTAGTGTTAGGGTTTCATCTGCCTTCTCAGAGTTTCCCAAAGGCCAGGGGCTTGTTAGAGGCCTACCTGTCTTCTCCCAGATAGGCTGATAACCCACGGTGATTCCAGTGAAAACACAGTTCATCTGTGTGAATTGCTGAGGCCTGGAGTGGACAGGGGCCACTGTCCCAGACAAGGACCAGGCCTCCCCTGGACTTGAGGACCTAGGGATTGATGCAGATTGGGAAAACCAAATACATTCCACTAGGAAGGGCTGAAACTACCATGATGCAGTTCCACTCTCCAAGAAGGCCCCAGCTATGAGCTTCCCAGGGCAGCTGTGACAAATCATGCCCTACTGGGTGGCCAAACGACAGAAATGCATATCTTTCCTTTCTGGAGGTCAGAAGTCTAAAATCAAGGTGTGTGCAAGGCTGGTTCCTCAGGGAGGCTCCAGAGGAGAATGTCTATTTTTTCTAGCTTCCAGAGACCACCTGCTTTCTTGGCTACTGGTCCCTTCTTCTGTCATCAAATTGTGTCAGGCCAGCTTTGCTTCCATCATCACATCTCCTTCTCTGACCTGACCCTACTGTCTCCTCTTCCCACACAAGTCTCCGTGGGGGGTTGGGGGGACAGATCCAAACCCCACTTCCTGTCTGTGCCCCCTCATTCACCACCAGTCTATGCTCTTCCTCCCACCTCCAGCACGTCCCTCCTTCCCTTGCCTGCCCTTACCACTCCCTCTGTTCCAGCACTGCAAAGTCAGGTTCTGTGTCCTGATTTGAGTCCCAGCTCAGGAAAAACTTCTGCTGCCCATGATGAGGCACTGATACTTCCCTGACATGCCCTGTCACTTATAGGACTTGTCTGCATGTGTCACATCTGAGATGGGCTTCTCGTCTTGTTTAGAAGTACCATGAGCGATGGAACTTGTGTTTTCATCCCTGTGTTTCTAAAGAAAGCCAAGGCTGGCTCTAGGATGCTTGGTGTGTTCTTTGGAGGGGTGGGTGGAGGAGCAAGCATTGCAACAGCCCCTTCTCCCCTGTTTTCCTAGGAGGAGATGCTCCTTTTGGCCAATGAAGTGCAAGGATATGTGCTCTGATAGCATTTCAGGATTCTGGTAGCTCCCAGGATCTTTCTTGGGGCCCCACATGCTCCCTGAGCAATGAGGGCTATCTTCACAAGGCCTGGATGTGGGCATTTTTGGAAGATGCTCACCCAAGCAGCTGAGAGCAAAACTGAGGCTTAGATGAATGAGAAAGGAAGGGACCCCAGTGGAAATGTGCTACAGCTCGGGGCCGCTGCAGGAGCCGGGTCTGCAGCAGCTTCAGCTGGCCACCTCCTCACAGAGGCTGAGGCCTCTTATGTCCTGCCCTCCCTTCCTGGCCTTGGGCAGTGCGTTCTTAGGCCAACGGCTCCTCCCTGGGCTGAGGGGCAGAGGCTGGTTCTGTTGATAGATTTAGATCTATGATTTTCCTGAAGGTCAGCTCTGATGTTCTTGAAACATGAAACTGCCTGCTGATGAGACTGGGAGGGCTGCAGCTGGAAGCTAATGTCTGTATGTTCACAGTCACTGGGGCACCAGACAAGAGACTCACCAGTCCCACCCAGCAACTTGGTGTTCTCAGAGATGCTTCAGTCACCCACACTAATTCTCCTGTCTTTCCTAGGGTGATTCTGGTGGGCCCCTGGTTTGCAACCTCCCCAGAGCCTGGGTTCTGGTGGGGCTGGCCAGCTGGGGCTTGAGCTGCCAGCACCCCGTCTACCCCAGCATCTTCACCAGGGTCGCGTACTTCACTGACTGGATCAACAAGACCCAGAGGCTCACTCCTCTTCCTGACCCCTCAGCTGCTCCTCCACCATATAAGCCTCTGCACGCTGCCAGCTCCCCCAGGCCCCAAACTGCCCGCAGGCCTCCACAGCTCTGGTTCCCAATGCTGTTGGTGTTCAGGGCCCTGAAGTGACCCACAAGTGCACTGCTCCTGCACTCTGCCTCAGGCCCTCGTGTCCTCACCAGAATGTTCCACACCTCCCCTCTGCCCATTCTCATCATCTTTCCACGGCCCCTTCTCTGTGGCTTTTCTGTCCATTAGCTCCAACTGCAAATAAGCCTGAAAAAAAAACAAAAAAAAAATTAAATAATAACTTGCCTCATGACAAGTGAGCTGCATTTTTGTGCTACTGTAGAGAGAGAAAGTAAACCATGGAGGCAGTTGGGGGAGGCAGTTCCACCCTGGGTGAGAGGACAGGTCTACCTCAGATAGTGGCAGCCAAACCTGGCCAGGGAGTAGAAGCTAACATGCTTTAAATGCATGCACAAAAAACTCGTACCAGGACACAATAAAAGACAAAGCATTTTAAAATGGGCAAAGAGTAAAAAGAGGTACAGATGGCCAAAACACACATGAAAATGTTGCACATAAAACATTAGGGAACTACAATCCCAAACTACAGTCAGGTGCTCCTTAGAAGCCCTTGGACCACTATTATAAAAAAGACAGATGATTGTAAGTATTGACCAGAGTGTGCAGAGAAATTGAACTCTCTGCCCTGCTAGTGGAAATACACACCATGTTTCCCTGCTTTGGAAACAGTCTGGCAGTTCCTGAAAAATCTAAACACACTTTCTGCATGACCCAACAATTTCACTCCCAGAATATAGCCATGAGAAATGAAAACATACATTCCCACAAAAACTTGTACAGAAACACTTATAACAGATTTATTCTTTTTTTTAAACTTTATTTATTATTATTAATTTTTTTTTTTTGTGGGACCCTCGCCGGCGGCCGGGGAAAGAACCGGCGCTGCAGAGGCTGTGGGCAGCCTCGCAGCCCAGCACTCAACTGCTGCGCCACCAGGGGAGGCCCCTAAACTTTTTTTAAAGATTTATTTATTTATACAAGAACTGGGGTACAGCTTAGAGGTGTGGGAGGGTGAGAGAATTCACCAGAGACAGAGTGGGGAGCAGAACTGACAGACCGAAGACATGCTGAGGAGAGCAGTGGGCGAGATAGAAGAGGTCTGCGGTGCCATGTGGGAATCTCCCTGGCCGGCTGGGAATTGAACCTGTGCTGCAGAGGCTGCAGACAGCTTCACAGCACTACGCTCAACCCTCTGAGACACTAGGGAGACCCAACAGATTTATTCTTAATAGGAAGTAGAAACAACCAAATGCCAATTGATAAATGGATGTAATAGATTGTAACTGTAAACTACAGTTATGGGCTAATGTGGATGGGCCTTGGAAACATTTCTAGTGGCAGAAGACAGACATAAAAGGCCATATTTCATTTGATTCCATTCCCATGAATAGAATATGGAAATCTACAGAGGCTGAAAAAAAAGTAGTGGTTGCTTAAGGCTGGGGAGCAGGGGGAACTATGTGGCTTCCTTTTTGAAATATTAAATATTAAAAAATGTATTGTGGCAGGTTCTAAATTCTATGAATATGACAAAATCCATAAAATTGTACACTGGGTAAATTCCATGCAATGTGAATATCATAATAAGCTTAATAAAGGTTATATTTTTAAAATGGTCTAAGGCAAATACAACAAAATGTTGACATTGCAAACACCTAGGGGCTGGTGATGGATGCAGAAGTGATCAAGCAGTCTCCCTCAGATTTAGATGATCATCAGACAGCTCCTCAGATACACAACTCTCACAACACACACAGCCCCTGAGACGCCCATTGCCTGCTCATCTCGGGTCCTTCTCCAAGAAGCAAGAGTAAGAACAGCAGCCCAAGAGCATATTCCAAAAAACTCTTTATTTACAATTTACATCCAATGTCCTAAAGGTGCTTCTCATACCTCCCACCCACCCACATCCATACCCTCCCCCCAGGCCCTACCCTCCCTCCCTTGCTGTCCCAGACACACCCACCCCCCAACCCCAGACCCCCAACCCATCCCTCCCCATCCCACCCTTCCGGTCCAAGGACAGCTAGTTAATAACTGAGATGAGGAGGAGTCCCCGAGGATCCTCCACTGGGGAGAGCAAGGACAAAGTCAGAGCCCCCACCCCTGGGGGGAAACATGAAGGGGCCTCCTGCTGCTCCCTACTGGCTGCAATGGCGCTTCCTCCTGTGCCCTGTGAAAAGAGGAGCACACCTTCTCTTCCAAGGAATTGAGGGGCCAAGCAGCTCCAGTGGCGAGGCTGGCCTCCCAGACACCCCCGGGTCAGCCCCTGGGAGGGGGCTCTTGTTGGCAGGAGCTGGGCCCACACACAGAGGGCGCTTCCTAGACTTGGCCCCACGAGGCCCAGCTGGATTGAGGCCCCGCCTCTGAGGACAGGGGAACTGGCTTGCCTGCTGACCACCAGAGCCAGTAGTGGAGGCAGGGCCAGGACTCTGGGGGAGCCCCCAGGGCAGCAGGCTGTGCTGAGAGGCCAGGAGGAAGGCCAGACTGGGGAGCTCCTCCTCATCCTCCTCACTGGACCCATCCGCTGGCACATGAATCCCCCTGACTGCAGAGGTCTGCCCCAGGACGCAGGAGTCTCCACTGCCCAATCTAGAGGAAGCACATTTCTGAATCTGTGGGGGACAGGCGGGGTGTCCAGCCCGAACTGGAGGGGGCTCTTGCTGTCCCGAGGAGAAGGCAGCGGTGCGAGGCCTGGACAGGCCAATGTCCACTTGGCTGGCTCTTGGAGGGGCCTTACAGTCAGGGTTCCCGGGGCGCCCGTCACCACTGGCCCTTGGCTGGGAGCCAGGTCCGTCAGACTTGGGGGACTTTGAGTCCACTTTGGGCGCACAGTGGCTTGGGACGTCCAGCACGGCCCCTTCCTCCTTCAGAGCCAAGAGCCGCTTCTCGACCAGCTGGGAGAGAGAGGGCACAGTGACTGGGTCTGCAGAGCAGGACAGGACAGGCCCAGGGCGGGGGTGCATGGCACTTGAGAGGAACGGGGGGTGACCTACTGACTCATCTCAGAGATGGCAGCAATGCCATGCTCTGCACCTTCTCCCCAGCTATGTGTCCTCCCCCAACTCCAGTTCCCACAGGCTCCTTCTCAGTCCTACCCTGTACCCCCAAAATGGGCAAGCCACTATCATGCCTCTCAGGCAGAGGAGGGATGCACAGAGCAACACAGGGCTCCTGTTCTGGAGATCTCCCCTACCTGGATGCAGAGGGTGCCTGGTCCCCTGGCTCCCCTAGAGTGCCTTGCCCCCTGCTCACCTGTGCCAGGGTCAGTCCTTCCTCCTGCTCCAGCTCCGCAGCGAGGGCTGACAGATCCAGCTCTGGCTCTGGGGAAAGCAGCTCTTGCAGGAAGCGGGGGTGAATGACCGCCTCCACCTGGGACAGAAGGAAGAGGGGCTGAGCGTGCTTCAGGGGCACCTGTGAGCAAAACTGAGCTGCAAGAGTGGAGAGGAGAGACCCTTCCACCCTCGTGCACAAGGCAGGATGCTTCAGACCATCATGGCTGCAGGTACACACACGTACAAACACAGGCACACACACACCAGACACACAACTGGGCACATGGATGGACACAGGTAGACACAAGTGAGCATGTGAGTGCACACATGCATGCATTCACATGCACATGGACACACACACCAATTCCTGGGTCAAGAAGGAGTACACACGTAGGTACACATGTCTGCACATCAACACACGGGGACACGCGTGCACCCATTTGCACATAGAGAAACACCCATGCACACACATATGCACACACACACACAGCCCACACTCACAATGCACACGTAAGCACACACAAGGAAGATGGAATCACGTGCACACACACACGCAGGGTGACACATACCCACAGTGAATATGTACACCCTGCACACTGACACAGACAGGCAGGTGAGGACCGAGGAAGAGAACTTAATTCCAAAGGCCTGGGGAGAACCCACATCTGGTCCTGGCAGAACCCTGGAAGCTTCCAGGACCCAGAGCTCTGGGGCAGCCCACCTTGGTGACAAAGTGTTGGTCGGAGCACAGCTTGTCAATGTAGCTCAGGAGCCCCGGGTCAGGGTAGTTTCCCTCCTCGTCTTCCTGCTGCTCCTTCTCCGCCTCAACGCATTCTCCCAGGGGTTCCCCCGAGAGGAGCCCCAGCAGAGCGTCCATGATGTCCACATACTCGTTCACGGCCTCAGGGGGGATCTCCTTGGGTGCCTTGGCCTCACGGGGCCGCAGGGGGCGGTGTGGCCGCTGGCGGGCGGCCTGGGCCCTGGCACCGGCCTTCCTGGGGCCACATGCTGAGGCAGGAAGCAAGAAGGAAGGGAGCATGAGGGCCTCATCCCCATCCCAATGCATGGCCAGGGCACAGGGCGGGGCAACAGTAGCCCGCACAGCTACTGCTGGGTCAGGACACCGAAGCCCACACGCCACAGGGGGAGAAAGGGGAGGAGAGCATCCCGGAGGGTCGGTGGGAGGATGTGAGGCCACAGCTTCCAGGGGCTCCTCACGGCCCTCTTCCTGGGTGAATTTGTGATGGGCCTTGGGGCGGAAGGGGGAGAGTCCTGAAGCAGGGGAAGGGCCCTGGCACAAAGGGCAGCTGAGCCTGATATCCAGGGACGGCTCTGGGTGAAAGAGCCAGCGCGCCCCGCAACCACCACCTGGCACTGAAGGGACCCCCATGGGACAGGGCTTTCCTCAGCCGTGGCCTCTGGCCATCAGCTCCTGAGGTAACAGGGGTGCCATACCTGGCTGCTGAGCCAGCGGTGGGGGTGGGGGGCCCCGACTCTCAGGCTGGGGTGGGGCAGGAGTTGGCAGGTACCGCACCCCCATCGTGCTCTGTAAGTTCTGCATCTGCATCTCCTCCTCTGCTTCAAATTCCATGAACCTGGTGAGTGGGAGGCGCAGCCATGCTGAGAGGGCCCAGGCGGAGCCCACATGGGCCAAGGGGCAGCGGGAATGGGGAGGCTCTGCTGGCACCGTCACGGCCACTCACTGAGGAGACGGGGCCCGGGGGCTGGACAACAGGCCCTGCGCACCCCCAAGCAAAGGGCTACCGTACAGCCCCAGTTGTCATGTCAAGGTTTGGGGGCCGGGGTCGGGGGTGAGTGTGGGGGCTGAGTGGGAGGAGGAGCCCAGCACACAGGGCAGGGAGAAGTTTGGGATGAAGGAAGAGCCCCGGGGCTGTGGGCCCCTCGCCCCGCAGCCTCGTCCTCCGTTGTCCCTGAGGAGCTCGTCTCAAGCCGCCCCTGGTCTGCACCCAGCCTCGGCCTGTC